AACAATAGTGTGGACAGTAGATAATAGAAGTAAAAAATAGTGTGGATAGTAGATAATAGAAGTAAACAATAGTGTGGACAGTAGATAACAGAAGTTAACAATAGTGTGGACAGTAGATAATAGAAGTAAAAAATAGTGTGGATGGTAGATAATAAAAGTAAACAATAGTGTTGATGGTAGACAATAGAAGTAATCAATAAGTTTAATAAAGGTGACATCTAATAAGATATAAAATTGCTCCTCAATTAAAACATAATATTAGCATCGGTATTAGGAAAGGAAGTCAAATAAGGGAACTGTATTAGGCTGCGTTAATTTTACAAAATATCAAAACGAAAGGAAATCTCTGATCATTTTAAAATGAAGAAAATCTTGAATCCCTGTAATTATAATGTTTATTGATAAGGAAATTAACAATCACAACGTATTCAAGTTTTAATACCTTTAAAGAAGGTCTAGTATCTGCTATGTAATTTAATACTGCCATGCTGAAATATGATTTGTCACACCCATTGAATAAAACATCAATGTCAAAAAAATATGCAGACAAAATGATAATAAAGCCACAACAGGGTAATGGTCGGATACTTAATGATGCTGTCGTTAATCCGCTAATAATCTGACGTCCACCTGACACCTGTAGAAACATAATTAGCGTGGACCGCAGTCTGTGCCTCGAGGCATGTGACTACCTGTTCGACAAATGGAAAGGTTAAATACTAAGGTTTTGAGTGGTCAAGGATAATAAGATTTTGAGGAACACAGGGTATTCAAGCAATGGCAGTTAAAGTAATCCGAGGTCAGTTTACAACGAATATATCATGAACCCAGTCGAGACCAAGCAAACTATTTGAGGAACAAGGGGCATTTGAGTAATGCGAGTTTGAGTTAGTGGGGTTTCAGTGTATATAAATACAACATGCATTATACACTGCAGGCTACATGTCATTTAAAACCCCCACTATTTAAGCCATGCAAAATAAACAAAGAAGCTTGGTATGAATCACACATGTATGGTACGAACAAATGATCTCCAGCTGTACAAACAAATCTACCTATACACTGTAATTAAAATGTAATCAAGGTACCTGTTTTTGTGTGACAATAGCGAATTTTCCCATTACACTTGGATTCTGTTCAAGAAATTACAAGAAAACTAGTAAAATGCATAAAGGAAAAAAATGACATTTGTTCCACTTTAAAAATTTTGTTCCTTAATTTGGAAGTTGTGATTGAAACATAATAAAAAACAGCATAGCTATTATTGGTGATCTATGTAATTATGTATAAGATAGCAAATATCATTTGATTTGCCACTTTGCTTATATCGCCAACATATTTCAAGGTCCCTTAGTCGCTTTTTCTTAAGAATTCCTTTATACGTTTCCCTCAATTTATTGCCAAACCCCTTTATAATGCCAACATTCCTTTAAACATATGGCGGTAATATAACAAGGTTTTGCTGTACAACGTGAAATGGGGAGACACAGTAACTTTAAACAATTCACATGTTGCCGAATCTCCCCATTTGATATTGTCTGGTCACCTCTTCTTTTGAATTTATTACTGTTGTGCTGGACTAGTTAATTCCATAGAAATGTCATCAACTTGGGTCTGCTGAACTCCCTAAATATACCAAGAGCGGACGGTGGATCTCCATCTCTTAGGTATATGTTGTACATTATTTGTACAAAAATTAATTTTAAGTAAGGCCTTTTGGCCCATAAAATATGGTTCAGCATATATAACTTATACTCCATATAAATACTTCAACCTTATCATAGAAAACAGCCTACTGATGGTGGTGATTCAACACTCCACAAAAAAACTGGCCCAAGAACTTAAACCTAAAGCTTGCCCAAAAACTTCAACCAAGTCCAATTAAGCTATTTTTGGCCCCCAAGATATGAAAATATGGTCCAGGTAATTGATTACACTCCATATAAATGCCTTAACCTTATAATAGACAACCGTGTATGGAGTTTGATGATCCAACACTGTTAGGGAAAAAAAATAATGCTAATGCAGATTTTCTTCAAATAGGCCAACTAAAAGTTTACAGTTCTTGCAATGTTACATTTTACTTTTGTATCCAAATCATCTAAATAAATTAATGTATTCCTTTAGTCAACATGAAAATATTAATCTATTTATAACAAATAATAAAAAGTAAATGCTATTTTATTTTTCTTGTACATTCATTATTCACAATGTGTGCTATTTTTTTTTTATTAACCATGGAGAATTATTTCAAAATGCTGCTTCATCAGATTGAAGTGCATTCCTAGGACGACAGGAAATGATACAAAATGAAAAAAAAAATTGTGAAAATTGGTGGAATATTTTCAATGAGAAATCCTATTAAGATTGAGTGATAAATTGTCAGAACATTACTGTCAGTAAGATTAAAGATGAGAAGATCATGATATTATTTTTGAAAGTTTTATCATTTAATGTATAACTATTTTTTGAAACAATATGAAACCACAAGAATTCTTATCCAGTTATTTTTTTTAAAGTGGAATTTTATTAATTTAAACTTATTCCAGAAGTTTATATTCATAAAATCAGTTATTTAAAGTGATGAAAATCTACACACAATCAACAACGAAATTTCCACTGTAAAGGATTCTTGTTAAATTTCTAACAATGATATTATGTGAGACTATCAAGACCAGAACACATTTCAATGACCTTACCTTGTCCCAGTCTGGTGACAAGAAAATACATTCTTCTTCACACAATTATTTGATTGAAATTTAAAGAGAAAATATTACATTCACTTTGACCTTTACCAGTACATGTAATGATGAAGTAAACAATGTGAAACCATGGCAACAATAGAAGTGTTCATTTGAACTTTGAAACAACCTTTCAGAAACAAGAGGGAACCATGACTATAATAAACAAGCACATGACCACAGTGTAATCATTGGAGGCACAATAGAAATGTTGTCCATTTGATCCCAAATATGACCTCTAAAAGACAATTTATCATAGCAATGATCACATCTTCAGTTATATATAAATATTGAAATATACTCACTTGCTGAGAGAGGACTGCGTTCAGTTTTTGATCCACTTGTTGGGACGGCTGACTTTGGACGTTGAAAATCAAGGGATGAGCTCAAAGATCTATGAGCTGAATAGGCCCTGGACTGTTTGGGAGGGGCAGGGGACATCAGCGGAGAATCCATGGAGGCACTCAGTGTTTTGGGGGGAGGGGGAGTGGAGGATCGGTACAGGTCACTGGTGTTAAGAGGAGGGACAGCAGAGACACGATCTGTCAGAGATTTAGGGTGGCTCCTGTGAGGAAATATGAAAAAGTCACTGAAATCAGGCATCTTAATTACAGCAATATGTAAAATTGTTAAATGATATTTTGGAACTGAACAATCTAAATTTTATGCAACTGCATGTATCTCATAAAACTATAAAATTGCTTTATCCATTTTTTCTACATTAAAAAGGTGAAAAGCTATTGGATTTCTTTCTGTCTCAAAATATTGATTAAAAACAAAATATTCAATTTTGTTTGAAGCATTGAAAGAGTGTTGATCATTATACCTGGAACATCTTCTGAGTGACTCTACTTCCTTTTTCCAGGAGAGGTTGGAACACTCATCACGGAGTTCTTCCACCTTGTCAAGACTCTCCCTTCCACGACTTGCCTCCTCTTTGAGCAGGCGGATATCTTCACTCTGTGGTAATACGTCCAAAAATGTAGCACTTTGATAGTTTGAACACACTACACATTGCTCCTATATTACATTATTTCTATGTGCTTTTAAAACACTCAAATTTCAGTTATTATAAGTGAATCTTGAACCCTAATTTCTGTAAATTTTTAATTGTTTCCATAGAACTTAAATATGGTTCATGAGCATTTAGGCTTAAGTGGCACATGATAAAACTCGATTCATGACTTACCAAAAATCTTGAAAAAGGTAACGTGATTTGACTCAGACATGAAAAATTGCAGTACAAGAGAATCACAGAGCATTGTGACACTTATATTGGAATGTACATGTCTGATTTGGTAGTTCTCATAAAAAATGGGAGTACAGTATTATGTTGGATTAAAGAGGATGATGTGTTATTGACAGGGCTCTGATTAATCAGTTTCACTATAAATAACTGGTTAAAGGTTCAAAGAAAAGTCTTGAGTATTTAAAAACAAAATCTTTCCCAGAAATTGGCTTCAACAAGAGGCCCAGAAGGCCTGTATTGCTCACCTGGAAATGTTAGCAAAATTGAAGTTGAAATAGCCATATGTTGCTGGAAGTGTACATGTATACGTATTACCTGGTTAGCCAGGGGTTATATTTATATGCAATTGGACAAAATCCTGTCATTCCTACAGGAAAAAGAGGATTTGAAGAATTTGCTATACTCCCCTATTGGGACCCGCCTCTCTGCCCCAAGGAGGATTAGACACACTGTTGATACAAAATTAGCTCCCCTTCACCCAAGGATGCTTTAGACCAAATATGGACATAATCTTGTGATTCCTGACAACGAACAAGGATTTTAAATCAATTTTTGTATTTTCCCTATTTGGCCCCACTACTCTGCCCCCAAGGGAGTTCAAACCAACCATTGGATACAAAATTGATTTCCCTTTCCCATAGGATGCTTCTGTTCAAATTTGGTAAAAATACCTTCATCCCAAAGGAAGGAAAAGGATATTAAAGATATTCCTCTATATCCCTTACTGCCTCTTTGCCCCCAGGGGGGTCAGACCCACCATTTATAAAAAAAATGGTTCCCCTTCACCCAAGAGTGCTTTATATCAAATTTGGACAAAATCCTGTAATTCCTACAGAAGAAGAAGGATTTTGAAGAATTTGCTATGTTTCCTCTATTAAGCATTGCCCCTCTGCCCCAAAGGGGTCATACTCACCGTTAATACAAAATTGAGTCCCCTTGGGCCAAGGATGCTCCAGACTGAGTTAGGATAAAATCCCTTAATCCCTATGGTAGAAGAAGGATTTTAAAAGTTTTACCCCTATTTCCCCTATTGGGACCCACCCCTCTGCTCCTAGGGGGGCCACAATTACCGTTTATATAAAATTGAGTACCCTTGGCCCAAGGATGCTCCAGACTAAATTAGGATAAAATCCTTTAATCCTTACAGTAGAAGAAGGATTTTAAAGGTTTTACTCCTATTTCCCCTGTTGGGCCCGCCCCTCTGCCCCAAGTGGAGCCACACCCATGTGAATACAAAATTGAGTCCCCTTGGCCTAAGGATGCTCCAGACCAAATTTAATCAAAATCTACTTGGCCGTTCAGAATTAGTAGCATTTTATATGAAAAGTTAACAGACGGACCAAAGACGGATGCTGCGGTATGGCATTAGTTCACCATGGTCCTTCGGACCAGGTGAGCTTCAAATATAAAAAATCTTTCATTATACTAATCAGTGTAACATACCTCCCAGGACGCAGGCTGGTCTTGGTCAAGCTTGCCCTTCTCAGAGAAATAATGGTAGCGACCCCCTGTGTTACGTGCAAGGTCACACAGGAACTGGTTGGCCTCTGTATCATTACAGTTGAAGGAGATGGTGTGGACGGGAACACAGTGTTGCATCTGTACCTGGGCTATGATGGATCGGGGAGGCTGCAACATCAAGTAGTATTATTGTATTTAACTGTGTGTTTGAGAGATAAAAACTTCAAGCACATTTTAACATAGATGTTTGCACCATTACCTGTATGCTCCACTTATATATTAAGAACATTTTTCAACCTGAACAATTTGTTGCATTTTAAAATACAAGACTGCATATATCATGGGAAATAGTTCAAGATACCAACAAGGACATCTTAGAAATCTAGACAAAACCACATTTAGAATGTATGAAGATATATGAACTCCTTTCTAACAAATATCCTCATCTTCTGAGCTTACTGAAGTTACCAGATTGGAAAGGTTCAACTGCATGAAGTTACCTGGTCAGGTCTACCATCGGTTAGTAGGTATATGGCCTGTGTACCAGGGTCAGAGATAGCAAATTGGAGAGCTGCGTAGGTATTGGTAGATCCCCAACAGCTTAGTCCCTGGATCCACTTCCACGCTCCTTTCAGGCTCTGTTCATTCACCTCCACCAGGCGGTTTTGCCAGGATATGGCTTTAGAGTTGAAGGCCACCAAGTTAAACTTCATCTTGTGTCGAAGTTGTTCCTGGAAGTCAAGTGAAAAGGATAGCTGATACTGCAATTCATTCACATAACTCTGTTTATTAAGTAGACTGGTAAAGAAAATTGTATCTGATTTTGCCAAATTCTTCACTCCTTACCCTACAATTGACTGTTGTTTTGGATCTGATAACAGTGTATCAGAGATGATGGTAAGGAGACTTACAAATGTGGGAATTGCACTTATTGGCCCCGAGGAAACGTTTACACCAGAATATGACTCCTATGACAAATCCTACACCATACATGTAGTGTACAGAGAAAAGGGTAAATAACTAAGGTTTTACGGATTAGGAAATGCTTGGTTTGCTTTCATAATGAGTGGATAATAAAATTTATCATTTATTCTCAGAAAGAGAACGACATATCTAAACAAAGAACCAACATGGACATACAGTATGGAACTAGGGGTACACTAAAATACAAAACAGTAAATTCCAAATATTCATTGATGGTTCATAGGAATATATCAATGTATATATAATAAAGGATATATATAGTTACTTTATTTCCCTAAAAAGGAAGGTTTCCACTTTTGGTACATTTTCCATATATATTTCGTGCACTCTTGGACTGTGTCATGACACATTGTCATCAGATCCGACATTATAGTGTACAAGAATAGAAAGAAGGATGTGTCATGACACATTGTCATCAGATCAGACATTATAGTGTACAGGATAGAAAGAAGGATGTGTCATGACACATTGTCATCAGATCCGACATTATAGTGTACAAGGATAGAAAGAAGGATGTGTCATGACACATTGATATCAGATCCAACATTATAGTGTACAAGAATAGAAAGAAGGATGTGTCATGTCACATTGTCATCAGATCCGACATTATAGTGTACAAGAATAGAAAGAAGGATGTGTCATGACACATTGTCATCAGATCAGACATTATAGTGTACAGGATAGAAAGAAGGATGTGTCATGACACATTGTCATCAGATCCGACATTATATTGTACAAGATTAGAAAGAAGGATGTGTCATGACACATGTCATCAGATCAGACATTATAGTGTACAAGAATAGAAAGAGGGATGTGTCATGACACATTGTCATCAGATTTGACATTATAGTGTACAAGAATAGAAAGAAGGATGTATCATGACACATTGATATCAGATCCGACATTATAGTGTACAGGATAGAAAGAAGGATGTGTCACGACACATTGTCATCAGATCCGACATTATAGTGTACAAGAATAGAAAGAAGGATGTGTCATGACAAAATCAAAGGCTTATGGTTAGTCATTTTATTGGTTTCAGATATAAAAAAACTGACCACTGCTAGGCTGATAGTCATATCCCTTGGTAATAACAAGGAGGTCAACCAAATCAAAGCGATCAATTTAATCATTATGCTGTCGCCTGATTCCTTTAACTTGTATCAAAGAGACCAAAGGTATGCAGGATTCTGTAACAGTGTCCAATCTAGATTCTGTAACAGTGTCCAATCTAGATTCTGTAACAGTGTCCAATCTAGATTCTGTAACAGTGTCCAATCTAGATTCTGTAACAGTGTCCAATCTAGATTCTGTAACAGTGTCCAATCTAGATTCTGTAACAGTGTCCAATCTAGATTCTGTAACAGTGTCCAATCTAGATTCTGTAACAGTGTCCAATCTAGATTCTGTAACAGTGTCCAATCTAGATTCTGTAACAGTGTCCAATCTAGATTCTGTAACAGTGTCCAATCTAGATTCTGTAACAGTGTCCAATCTAGATTCTGTAACAGTGTCCAATCTAGATTCTGTAACAGTGTCCAATCTAGATTCTGTAACAGTGTCCAATCTAGATTCTGCTTGTATCGTCCATTTGGTGGCACACAGAGAACCTTCAAGATATTCTACAGGTGTAGAGAAAGTGAATATATATTCAAAGATTGTATTTAAAGCAGTCATTTCAGATATTGTATTATAATAATGTTGAAGGTATTAATATAAGTGGTTACAGAATGCATCAGTCTTTTAGATACATAGACTACTACCAGCCTTCAGAGTAAAGGGTGTTGAAGTGTGATAAATACCTGCATAAGGATAAAAAGCTTATCCTTAACAAACTGAATACTGGGTGTCATTGAGGAGGAGGTGTCAATGAGGATGTAGATCTGATCCTCAATTACTGTCCCAAATAAGGCTCTACTCCCCTGGTTCAGCCAGTCCACCCTGAAAAACACAACGCAACAAATATCCTCATTCTGAGACATGACTGGATAGTATATATGATTCATATATAAATTATATGTAGATATTATGAGATATAACTGAAGAGTATATCTCAGATGAATAAATTGTTTTCATTTCGTCGAAGACCCTGTTTGATATTTTAGATTATATCTACACCAAAAAAGGGTATTTCTTCTTAAATTTGACAACGAAAAATTTGCATTTTTATACCTCAACACTATCAATAACAAGAAGCCCAGATGGCCTGAATCGCTCACCTGAATATCTAAGCAATCATGGCAAAATATTCTCCAAATGAGATCCAAGGGAATATGCCAGACCCCAATGCCAATTCTTGTAGTATGTCTGTATTAGATTTTTCATGCCCAGCAATTTAATGTATGGTTATGGGGTGGGGATCTCAACTGTTTCCAAGCTGTGACTCAGAAACTAGATCCCTAGGGTTGTGGCCAGATCCCAGGATCAATTCTAATATCATGACGTCTCTTTTTGTCCAGCATTTGTATTTATAGTCTTGGGGTGGGGATCTCAACCGTTTTAAAGTTATGACCCAGGAGTTAAGTCTGCAAGGGTGGGGCAAACCCCAAGGCCATCCTGGAAGCATATGTGCATTCATCTCTTTATACTCAGCAATTGTATATATGCATGGCTATAGGGTGGGACTCTCAACTGTTTCCAAGCTGTGACTAAGAAACTAGGTCACTAGGGGTTCGGTCAGACCCCAGGGTCTATTCTAATACCATGACTACTTTTGTCTCTTTATGCCAAGCATTTGTATATATAGTTCTGGGGTGGGGATCTCAACCGTTTCAAAGTTATGACCCAGGGACTATGTCTCAAAGGGTGGGGCCAGACCTTAGGCCATCCTGGAAGCAAATTTGCATGCTTCTCTTTATATATACTCAACAGTTGTATATATGGTTATACTGTAGGGATCTCAACCATTTCCAAGTAATAAACTTTTTTTGGCCCCACCCCTTAGTACAATTTTGAATCTCTGCCTCCCATGAATGCCTCTGATCAAATATGATCAATATCCATGGCATATTTCTACAGAAAAAGGCGTTAATAGCAATATAGCCAAATTGCCCCCTTTTGGACCCTGCCTTCAGCCCTCTGGGGGGTCAGCCCAACCATTTGTACAATTTTGAATCTCCACTACCGAGGGATACTTCCAGTCAAATATGGTTGATATCTATCTCTTAGTTCCAGAGAAGAAGTCACTTAAATCAATATAGCACAATTGCCCCCTTTTGGCCCTGCCCCTCAGGTCCCTGGGGGGCCGGACCCACGGTTTATATAAAATTGGTTCCCCTTCACCCAAGGATGCTTCAGACCAAATATAGAACAAATCCTTTCATTCCTACAGAAGAAGGATTTTAAAGAATTTGCTATATTTCCCATATTGGGCCCTGCCCCTCAGCCCCCAGGGGGCCAGACCCACCATTTATACAAAATTTGTTCCCCTTCCCGTAAGGATGCTTCTGACCAAATATGGAACAAATCCTTTCATTTCTACAGAAGAAGAGGGATTTTAAAGAATTTGCTATATTTCCCCTATTGGGCCCCGCCCCTCAGCCCCCAGGGGGGCCAGACCCATCATTTATACAAAATTGAGTCCCCTTGGCCTAAAGATTCTTCAGACCAAATTTAGTCCAATTCCTTTCATTCCTACAGAATAAGAAGGATTTAAAATAATTTGCTATGTTTCTCCTATTGGGCCCCGCCACTTAGGCCCCTGGGGGGCCATACCCATGGTTTATACAAAATTGGTTCCCCTTCCCCCAAGGATGATTCAGACTAAATATGGAACAAATCCTTTCATTCCTACAGAAGAAGGATTTTAAAGAATTTGCTATATTTCCCATATTGGGCCCTGCCCCTCAGCCCCCAGGAGGCCAGACCCACCATTTATACAAAATTTGTTCCCCTTCCCCCAAGGATGCTTCTGACCAAATATGGAACAAATCCTTTCATTTCTACAGGAGAAGAGGGATTTTAAAGAATTTGCTATATTTCCCCTATTGGGCCCCGCCCCTCAGCCCCCAGGGGGGCCAGACCCATCATTTATACAAAATTGAGTCCCCTTGGCCTAAGGATGCTCCAGACCAAATTTAGTCTAAATCTACTGGGCCGCTCAGGACGTTTTAAAGGAAACGTTGACGGACGGACGACAGACGCTGCACCATAGCATAAGCTCACTTGCCCTTCGGGCAGGTGAGCTAAAAATGATTGATCAGCCCTCCCCATGTGACACTTACCGCTGATGGAAGGCCTGTACTGCCACATTCATCCTCTGTTCGTAGCTACGGTGGATCTCGGGTGTGACCTGAACATGAACCACTCCTCCATCTTTCCACCGAACCACAGGAAATCTGTCACAGTACTTAGCGTTCATCAACTTAGGCTTTCTGACCTTTTGATAGGAAATGTGGAATCAAGATTATTTCACTGTACACACTGAACTAATTTTCACAGCATGATGAATTCAAAGGTAATAGACATTTATCAGGGATGTGACTGAGGACTGAAAAATACTTCATCCTCTATAAATCTTTAAAACTTCGATGTTCCAGAACAAATCAATAATTTTTTGGGAAAATCTGGGAAAAGGGGGAAATCCTCTGAAAAGGAAAAATCACATCTCTATTTCATAATAATTGAAGACCACCTGCAATAAGACACCATTTTATTGACTTGCTGTAGGTCTCTCAAAACAGTTTGACTGTATTTAAGGATCCCTGTCCTACTGCACTGTGGTTTTTCGTATAAACCTTTACCTCTCCTTATATAGTGTTTTGGACTAACTAACACTGTAGCATTATTGATCCAGACCATTTCCTTTGACCAGGTAGCTCAAGTGGTTGGAGCAACAGTATAACAAGTTCAGGTTTAGAGTTTAAAGCCAAGTCTAGCCATCCTGATATTGTGTGTATATTATGGTCCTACAATGTACTTACAGCATCTGTGTGTGTGTTATGATCCTACTTACAGCATCTGTGTGTGTGTTATTGTCATACTTACAGCATCTGTGTGTGTGTTATTGTCCTACTTGAAGCGTCTGTGTGAGTGTTATGGTCCTACTAACAGTATCTGTGTGTGTGTTATGATCATACTTACAGTGTGTGTGTGTGTGTTATGGTCCTACTTACAGCATCTGTGTGTGTGTTATGATCCTACTTACAGCATCTGTGTGTGTGTTATGATCATACTTACAGCGTCTATGTGTGTGTTAAGGTCCTACTTACAGCGTCTATGTGTGTGTTATGGTCCTACATACAGCATCCGTGTGTGCGTTATGATCATACTTACAGTGTCTGTGTGTGTGTTATGGTCCTACTTACAGCATCCGTGTGTGTGTTATGATCATACTTACAGCATCTGTGTGTGTGTAATGTTCATACTTACAGCATCTGTGTGTGTGTTATGGTCCTACTTACAGCATCCGTGTGTGTCTTATGATCATACTTACAGCATCTGTGTGTGTGTAATGTTCATACTTACAGGGTCTGTGTGTGTTATGATCCTACTTACAGTGTCTGTGTGTGTGTTATGGTCCTACAAACAATGTCTGTGTGTGTGTTATGGTGCTACTTACAGCATCTGTGTGTGTGTTATGGTCATACTTACATCATCTGTGTGAGTGTTATTGTCATACTTGTAGCATCTCTGTGTGTGTTATGATCATACTAATAGCATCTGTGTGTGTTATAGTCCTACTTTTAGCATCTGTGTGTGTGTTATGGTCCTAGTGACAGTGTCTGTGTGTGTGTTATGGTCCTACTAACAGCATCTGTGTGTGTGTTATTGTCGTACTTACAGCATCTGTGTGTGTGTTATAGTCCTACTTTCAGCATCTGTGTGTGTGTTATGATCATACTTACATCATCTGTGTGTGTCTTTGTGTGTGTCAGGGTCCTACTTGCAGGGTCTGTGTGTGTGTTATGATACTACTTACAGGGTCTGTGTGTGCGTTATGGTCCTACTTACAGCATCTGTGTGTGTCTGTGTGTGTGTCAGGGTCCTACTTACAGGGTCTGTGTGTGTGTTATGGTCCTACTTACAGTGTCTGTGTGTGTGTTATGGTCCTACTTACAGTACCTGTGTGTGTGTTATGATGCTACTTACAGCATATGTGTGAGTGTTATAGTGCTACTTACAGGGTCTGTGTGTGTGTTATGGTGCTACTTACAGTGTCTGTGTGTGTGTTATGATCCTACTTACAGTGTCTGTGTGTGTGTTATGATACTACTTACAGGGTCTGTGTGTGTGTTATGATCCTATTAACAGGATCTGTGTGTGTGTTATGGTCCTACTTACAGTACCTGTGTGTGTCTTATGGTCCTACTTACAGTACCTGTGTGTGTGTTATGATGCTACTTACAGCATATGTGTGAGTGTTATAGTGCTACTTATAGGGTATGTGTGTGTGTTATGATGCTACTTACAGGGTCTGTGTGTGTGTTATGGTCCTACTTACAGTATCTGTGTGTGTTATGGTCCTACTTACAGCATCTGTGTGTGTGTTATGATCATACTATCTGTGTGTGTGTTATGATCAAACTTATAGACTGTGTTATGATCATACTTACAGCATCTGTGTGTGTGTGTGTGTTATGGTGCTACTTACAGGGTCTGTGTGTGTGTTATGATCCTACTTACAGTATCTGTGTGAGTATTATGATCATATACTTACAGTGTCTGTGTATGTGTTACTTACAGTGTCTGTGTGAGTGTTATGGTCCTACTTACAGTGTCTGTGTGAGTGTTATGATCCTACTTTAATTTAATTTCCCTGGCGCAACACACCTCGGAAGCTCGACCCCCTGTTATAGAATACCCTCCAAAAAAACAAAAATTGATTTGCTTTGCCACAGTGTCTTCATTTTTTGAGTAGATATTTAATAACAAATAAAGAAATTATTTTGTTGTAGATTACCATATGGGGAATCTTTTTAACCTCTCTATTCATTATTGATATGAAATATTGCTTAGAGTGTCTGGGTGTGTGTTATGGTCCTATTTACAGCATCTGTGTGTGAGTTATGATCATACTTACAGAGTGTGTGTGTGTGTTATGGTCATACTATCTGTGTGGGTGTTATGATCATACTTAGAGTGAGAGTGTGTGTGTTAGGGTCCTACTTACAGGGTCTGTGTGTGTGTTATGATCATACTTACAGCATCTGTGTAAGTATTATGAGCATATACTTACAGTGTCTGTGGATGTGTTACTTACAGTGTTTGTGTATGTGTTACTTACAGTGTCCGTGTATGTGTTACTTACAGGGTCTGTGTATGTGTTACATACAGTGTCTGTGTATGGGTTACTACAGGGTCTGTTTATGTGTTACTTACAGTGGCTGTGTATGTGTTACTTGCAGCTTCTCTGTATGTGTTACTTACAGGGTCTGTGTGTGTGTTATTCTCCTACTTACAGTGTCTGTGGATGTGTTACTTACAGTGTCCGTGTATGTGTTACTTACAGCGTCTCTGTATGTGTTACTTACAGTGTTTGTGTATGTGTTACTTACGTGTATATTATGGTCCTACAATGTACTTACAGCATCTGTGGGTGTGTTATGATCCTACTTACAGAGTCTGTGTGTGTGTTATTGTCGTACTTACAGCATCTGTGTGTGAGTTATGATCATACTTACAGAGTGTGTGTGTGTGTTATGATCCTACTTTAATTTAATTGCCCTGGCGCAACACACCTCGGACGCTCGACCCCCTGTTATAGAATGTGTGTGTTATGGTCCGGGTTCTGTTTAATGTCCACTACACCATCCATATGTTTGAAGGCTACACCAGCAAGAACATCATACAATTCCAGGCGTCTAGCGGCCAATCCGAATTGCTTCAACCAGTCTTTTGAGATGATATGAGCCCCAATCTTTTTTCTTAGCATCCGTGTGTGCGTTATGATCATACTTACAGCCTCTGTGTAAGTATTATGATCATATACTTACAGTGTCTGTGGATGTGTTACTTACAGTGGCTGTGTATGTGTTACTTTCAGCGTCTGTGTATGGGTTACTACAGGGTCTGTTTATGTGTTACTTACAGTGACTGTGTATGTGTTACTTTCAGCGTCTCTGTATGTGTTACTTACAGTGGCTGTGTATGTGTTACTTACGTGTATATTATGGTCCTACTTACAGTGTCTGTGTACGTGTTACTTACATTGTCTGTGTATGTGTTACATACAGTGTCTGTGTATGTTTTACTTACAGCGTCTGTTTATGTGTTACTTACAGTGTTTGTGTATGTGTTACTTACGGTGTCTGTGTATGTGTTACATACAGTGTCTGTGTATGTTTTACTTACAGCGTCTGTGTACGGGTTACTTACAGTGTCTGGGTATGTGTTACCTACAGCGTCTCTGTGTGTGTTACTTACAGCGTCTGGGTACGTGTTACTTACAGTGTCCGTGTATGTGTTACTTACAGTGTTTGTGTATGTGTTACTTACGTGTATATTATGGTCCTACAATGTACTTACAGCATCTGTGTGTGTCTTATGGTCCTACTTACAGCATCCGTGTGTCTTATGATCATACTTACATCATCTGTGTGTGTCTGTGTGTGTGTCAGGGTCCTACTTACAGGGTCTGTGTGTGTGTTATGGTCATACTATCTGTGTGGGTGTTATGATGCTACTTACAGCATATGTGTGAGTGTTATCGAGCTACTTATAGGGTATGTGTGTGTGTTATGATCAAACTTATAGACTGTGTTATGATCATACTATCTGTGTGTGTGTTATGGTCATACTATCTGTGTGGGTGTTATGATCATACTTACATCATCTGTGTGTGTCTGTGTGTGTGTCAGGGTCCTACTTACAGGGTCTGTGTATGTGTTACATACAGTGTCTGTGTATGTTTTACTTACAGCGTCTGTTTATGTGTTACTTACAGCGTCTCTGTATGTGTTACTTACAGCGCCTGTGTATGTGTTACTTACGGTGTCTGTGTATGTGTTACTTCCACAGTCTGTGTATGTGTTACATACAGTGTCTGTGTATGTGTTACATACAGTGTCTGTGTATGTGTTACTTGCAGCTTCTCTGTATGTGTTACTTACAGCGTCTCTGTATGTGTTACTTACAGTGGCTGTGTATGTGTTACTTGCAGCTTCTCTGTATGTGTTACTTACAGGGTCTGTTTTGTGTTACTTACAGCGTCTCTGTATGTGTTACTTACAGGGTCTGTGTGTGTGTTATTCTCCTACTTACAGTGTCTTTGTGAGTGTTATGATCCTCCTTTAATTTAATTTCCCTGGCGCAACCCACCTCGGAAGCTCGACCCTTATTGTCATACTTACAGCATCTGTGGGTGTGTTATGATCCTACTTTAATTTAATTGCCCTGGCCCAACACACCTCGGAAGCGCGACCCCCTGTTATAGAATGTGTGTGTTATGGTCCTACTTACAGTGTCTGTGTATGTGTTACTTACAGTGTCTGTTTTGTGTTACTTACAGCGTCTGTGTATGTGTTACTTACAGCGTCTGTGTGTGTGTTATGGTCCGGTTTCTGTTTAATGTCCACTACACCATCCATATGTTTGAAGGCTACACCAGCAAGAACATCATACAATTCCAGTCGTCTAGCGGCCAATCCGAATTTCTTCAACCAGTCTTTTGAGCTCATATATTGTTCCTCTGGATCTGTGAGTTGCGTTCTCTCTATCACAGAGTCTAATGATAAATCCAACAGACAAAGACGGGTTCAGAGAGATATGGACGCTCATACGCCATATTAACATAATCAGCATGGAGAAGGACAAAACAACACAACAAAGATATACATCAATTATTAATCCAATGTTGTCATAAACAAAGATAATGGCACACAAATTATTTCCATTCCATGGATCAGTTGTAAATGTTTTAACGGATCACAAAGAATACAACGAAAGATAGTGTTTCCCTTAGACTTGATCGTGCTGACTCTATATATTAATGGGTTCATTGTCTCCTTAACAGCCATTCGACGGTAAATTGACTAAAGAGGTATGGACGTACACTATACACTAGGTACTGTTAAAACTGGAAGTTAGGCGTAACTGTATAACTATGTTTATACATTGTTTATTCAATAATAAGCTAAAAGCATATATAGACTCTTAAAGTATTACCAACTTCAATAGGAATAAAATGAAAAAGACGATCTTTAAAAATTTGACATTTGAAATCTTTGAAAAGAGCAGAATATTTAAATAGGCAGTAATTGTGTTTGAAACAAGAAAATGTAAAAGTGATAGTTAAAAGAACCCAAAAAGCATTATTATATATAATTATAGAAGATCAGAAATGTTTTTGGAAATATTTTGTACATTTCATGCAAAGCTAATAAGGCTTAATTTTTATATCTCTGCCAGTCAGCTGAGTCCTGTATAACTGGACAGAAGCCAAATTACCTTTATTATTTATACCTGATTGATCATGCCTTGATATCCAATTACACATACATATGTGTGTACACATGGACACATTGCTATTTAGACCATGATAGCGTTGATATCTGATAATAATGTTGATGATTATGATTAAGTATTAGGATGATAACAATAATGGCCATTTTTTCAAAGAAAAAATTCTTTTGGCCTATTGATCTGTTTTATGGTTTTTTATAGGATATAAATTTAAAGGATATAAAAAAGTAAATAAAGTTTTTTAAAGGATATAAATCATACAAAACTAGAACACTGACAGGTCAGTAAGGGCCCCGTCTTGTGGCAATATTCCCCCCATTATCATCAAGAAGCAATCTGCCCATATAGCTGAGCTTGACGTTTGACATTTGGAAGGAAGCAAAATATACATTTTACATGTACTATGATGTGAGTCTTGTTTCCTTCCACCTCCATATTTGCTGGGCTAACAGAAATGTAAATACCGGTGCAATACTCATTTGTTAGCTTTGATTTGTTTTAATTCACCTTAAATACCTCCGCCATGAAGAGCCAGGGTCAAAGTCAGAGATCTACTTTGTCTTTGACCTTTGGACCCAAATGACCTTGACCTTTAACCCAGTGACCCTGATCTTTGGTCAGTTGACTTCTTCTTTAATTCCGACCAACTTTGCTTCATAAAATCATAACAAAATGTTCATTAGTGAAAAATACAAAACTTGACCTTTGGTCAGCTGACTCCTTGTTAAGTTCAGAACAACTTTGCTTCATAATAACATAAAAAAATGTTCATCAGTAAAAAGACCTTGACCTTTGACCAAGTGACTTTGACCTTTGGTCAAATGACTCCTTGTTTAATTCCGACCAACATTGCTTCAAAGTGTCATAACGAAATGTTCACCAATGAAAATATATTAAATTTGACCTTGACCTTTGATCCAGTGACCTTGACTTTAAGTCAGTTGACTCTTTATTAAATTCTGACCAACTTTGCTTCATAATGTCATAACAAATTGTACATCAGGGAAAAGATAAAAAAAATGACCTTGACCTTTGACCCCGTGACCTTGACCTTTGTCAATTTACTCCTTGTTTAATTCTGATCAACTTTACTAAATAATGTCATAACAAAATGTGTACCAGTTAAGAGTCCAAGATGGCTGATTAGCAGCCATTTTGAATCCGATTAGCCCGAAAAATTACCAAGCAGAACTAGGACGCATGAGAAATTATCATATAGAATTTTAAAAACATACTCCATTTACTTCCATCAATATTGTGCAAAAGAAAAAAAACGGACGGACGGACGAACAACCTGTTTACTATAGGGCACTTGCATCTTACATGCAGGTCCCTAATAAGTTCTCGTACATTTAATGTCCTTTATTATGTTTGTTTATAGTTTTGTCTTAAATAAAATCTTGTGTTCAAATGATTGTTTTTGTTATTATTGAAACATGTCTAATTTGACCCCTGTGTATTATGACTTCCTGTCTTGTTAAACAAAATTGTTTTAGCTGTTATTATAATATAAGTTGTTTTGTATAGTTTATACCCAACTCATGATGTTTCCCTTATTCAATCATTGGCTGTTTGGTTATTTATGTTAATGAAGGTATGGTAATTATAGGGTGAGAAACTGACCAATCGCAGAGCAGTATATTGTCCCCTATAGGGGTCTCTTAATTGGTAGCAGCCCCGGCCTTCATCTGGGGAGGCTGCAGTGAACCATGGTTGTTTATGCGTGTACTTAACTGCTACGTACTTTGACTTTTTTTACGTAGGTAAAGATTATCTTGTTGAAGAAGACAATGCAGGTATAGTTCTTTCTTGTTTAACTCGTTTCTTTGGAGTGAAGTTGGCTAGATTCTCCGAGATTTTAAATTCCTTCATTATGGGTCCAAAGCGCAAGTCCAACCGACCTACTCAGTACGACCCGGAACTTCTGGAGAACTGGACGTGGAGCTGGAGCTGTCCCGTAAAAACATCACATTTAGGAACGAACGGAGCTAGTTAAACTCTTAAGAGATGTGCAAGCTAGGCCCAATGTCAGGGGTGGCCGATCCCAGAATGCAACGAATGAGTCAGTCAGATCAATATGGCAGCCCCAGCAACTCAGAACCTTATAGACATGGTCATTTTTTTGCTGACGGAGAGCGTGGCAACTCTCCAAGACTGCTATTTACATCTTGAAAGTCGCTTAGACGAATGTCCTCAGTCATCTGTGTCAGTTGGCAGGCGTGTCGAGACTGCCACCGACAACAGGGTACAGGTAGCAGCAGCCATGTGTGTAGATATCTACAGTGCCGGAATTTCAAATGCAGTTTCTACGAGTCCAGAGTTTACTCTTAATTCAGCCTATCAGAATTTTAGGACAGAGTCAACATCGCAAGACCACAACAACACTAGCAGGACAAATTATGGTTATGCTGCTGAGTCCCTGCCGTTAGGGGAGACAGTTTCACCTGCCCTAAGACAAAGCATTATTTCAGGTAGGGATGTAAATTTTGTGGCACTGCTCATCCCCTATAACTGTAGTCAGAGTGACCCCAGTTGTGTAACAGACAAGGCAGACCCCCAGGCTAAATAGAATCCTAACCTTTAGTGAGTTTATTCTAGCTTTTGGTGTCTACAAACATGTCATGTGCGAAGCGCATTTGTCCTGGCATATTGAGTTAGATTTATACGAAGGAGACATTGTTGATATGGGCACTTGGTACTCGTCAGGTTTTTACGAGTACCTGAATGTCAATTATCCCTGAGGGCAGCCGCACACTGAGCTGTGATGCAACAACAGACCAATCGACTGGTCTGTACGTGATAACACACTGTTCTGCAACATTTTTTCAAATATCCGTCCTATATCATGTAGTGTCTGTGACAGTACCCTCCATACCACTAGATTCTGTCCAGCTTCTGGACAAGAAGTTAAACAACAAAAATTTAGTTCTAAACCTGCTGGAATCCAAAGATCGCGTGGTTCCGACAACGTCGACTCTCAGAGTCGCCATCGTGTTGCCACCATGAAGGGTGGGAACTTTGTTACAACTACAACAACAGTCGTTTCAAGTGTATTGTGTGTGTTTTGTAAGGGGAATCATCCTCAATTCAAGTGCCCTTTAGATGTGTATCAGCCCTCCACCAAGAGGAAATGATACATGTGACAGCCAGCACTCCTATCAATATTCAACGTTTAACTCATTCACCCCTGAAGTTTCATAATAAACTATTGAACCTTTGAATTGGAAGGGTTCAAATGTGTTTTCAGGGGTCAATGGGTTAAAACCAGAACTACAATTTCATCCGGATAGAGAGTTCGCGGAATATTTGTTTAATGGACTTGCTAATGGCTTTGATACGGGCATGTTAAATTTACCTAATAATTCTTTTGAGTGCAAGAACCGCAGGTCAGCTACTGGAGACCCAGACAGTGTTTCAGAACTAGTAGGGAAAGAACTAGACAAGGCTATCTGATAGGTCTCCTTTTGACAACATCCCATTCAATAGGTACAAAATTAACCTTATTGGACTAGCTGAACACAAATATTCCAAAAAGAAGTGCTCATAGTCGATATGTCAGCTCCACATCAAGACGGTGATAACCCTAGTCTCAACAGCCTTATTGACAAGGCTATATGTTCACTGAAATAAGTTACTATCGACGACATAATTTTCATCTTGAAAAGTTTGGGTAAAGACGTTTGGCTTATGAAAACTGACAGAACTGATGCCTTTAAGTTGTTACCAATCAAACCTAATTTATGGCCATTTCATGGAGTCAAGTGGGACAACAAAAACTATTTCTTTACTCTGTTGGTGTTTGGTAGTTGCTCCAGCCGAAGATATTTAATTGCTTGGCGCAGGTCATGTGTTGGATTGCTGAAAATAATTACAATATCATGGGCGGATTGCTTGAGTGGTTAATACCCCGGCCTTCCACGCAGGCATCAGGAGTTTGATCCCCAAAGTTGTCGTACGCATGGATATTCAGAGAAAGTGTTTTTCTCCTGCCCACACAACTCCAACAACCCAGGTGGAGTATAAATTGGTCTGGGGTGGATGTTGCAGTATCTGTGCTGTAGCATTCAAGTGAGGTGGCAATATAAAAGATGCCGTTGGAAGCACGGTCCCACTACAAACAGAACACAATACATCTCCAGCTTACACGCAGGCATCCACACATAGGGAGATATTAGCCAGGTGGCATATAAGACTAATAGTAAGTGCCTAATAAGGCAGCTCCTGCGAAATCCTCAAAATTGTATGTATTAATTGTATATCTATGTACTGTAAAGCGCTTTAGAGTGGCTTATGTTAGCTAGATAGGGCGCTATATCAAATGTTGTATATTATCAAATGCTTCTGTATATTATCAAACACATTCTTCATCTGCTAGACGACTTTCTTGTGTTGAAACCTGCACAGGTTAATGCACCTGATACCATGGCATATTTTCTGTCTGTTTTAGGTAATTTGCGCATTCCAATTGGTGCTCATAAAACTGTAGGACCGTGCACTAAATTAGAATACCTTGAGGTATATTTGAACTCGGTAAGAATGGAAGCCAGTTTGCCAGCAGAAAAAAATTAACACATAATAGACCTCATCGAATCTTTCGGGAATAGGAAATTGTGTACCAAGAGGGAATTACTATGCTTACTGGGACATATGAACTATGCTTGTAGATGTATTAAGCCTGGAAGATTGATTGTATCTTATCTCGTATCTCTTGCTTCGGCTGTGCTTGAACTACACTACCACATTAAATTAACAGAAAAATGTTGTTCAGACCTCACTATGTGGTCTCTATTCGGATTTGGAATGGTGTATCTTTTTTCCTAGATGATCATATAACCCAAGTGCCCGACCTCCACTTGTTCACTGACGCTACTCCTAAAGCATTCGGAGGTTTCTATATGAATAAGTGGTTTCAGGGGACATTCCCACTCCAGCTCAGTGACGTAGACACATCTATGGCCCTTTTTGATCTCTACCCAATTGTGATGGGTTGCACGTTGTGGGGGCATCAGTGGCGCAAGAAAAGAATATTGTTTCATTGTGATAACTTAGCCGTTGTTGCAATAATTTCAAAATGGAGATCCAAGGTGAAAAGCATTATGAGACTTACGCGAAAGTTATTGATAGCTGAATGGTATTCATGCTAAACACATACCAGGAGTTGACAATAACACTGCTGATACTCTTTCTCGTTACTAGATGGGGTGTTTCCGGATGTTGGCTCCACACGCAGAGATCCTTCCAGTGCCATGTCTGCCAATGTCTTCCCTGCTCATGAGTTGAATCCCGAGGTGGACTGTTTATGGAATGCAGTACTTAGTGCTAGAACTTTAGCCACCTATAAGTCAGCTTTGAACTGTTTTTCTGACATTTGTGCTAATGATGGGTATTACTTTACCAGTCAACTCTCTTCCATCTGTTGATGAAGACCTGCTCATTTATTCATTACGCACTGTCAGAAAGCCTGAAGTCTACACTATGATACTATATGAAACTGTATTTATCAGGTGTTCGTTTCTACTACATACGCCACAAACTGGGAGATCCAATTGCTGATACGCTCAGACTGTCTTACATTTTACGTGCGATCAAGAAACCTCAAGTGAACAATACTGTGAAAAGGCTTCCTATCACACACAATGTGCTGTTTAAATTGTGTGATGTTCTTGCATGTGAAACAGGATTATTTGATTCTGTTAATAGCCTTATGTTAACATGTGCATACAAGACAGCTTTTTATGGTTTCTTGCGTTGCGGTGAGTTTACTTGCCAAGCTCTGTCTGACACCAATTATATTTGTATTTGTGATATTTTTGTATACCCTGACATGTCTTGTTTCAATTTGTATTTGAATGCTCCAAAGGCAGACCCTTTCAGAAAAAGTTTCACAGTCAAAGTGTTAGAAAACAGTGCTTTGTCTCCAGTCAGTACAATGCATACTTACATACAACTTAGGGGTTCTCAAGGTGCAATACCTATTCTCCTTTATTTGTTGAAACAGTGAATTTCATGAAGCCTTTAATGCATCAACCTTTTTTGAATCCTCTCAACAAAACCTTAACAGCTTGTGGTCTTAGTTCTCAAGCTTTTAGTGGCCACTCCTTTCGCAAAGGTGCTGCAACATCTGCAGCTGCAGCAGGTGTGGAAGATCATGTCATTCAAACCTTGGGCAGATGGTCATCTGATTGTTTTATGCGATACATCCGCATTGACCCATCCAATATTCGCTCTGCCCAGAGGTACATGTCCTCTTAGGCCATGTCTAGTCCTAGATTTGAGTACTTGGCATCACAATGCTTTGAAATGTATTAGATATAACATGCACCATTTTCATATCTAAAACCTACCACGTATTGGGGGCTCTCACTCCTGTGTCATACTCGTATAACACATTCATTCAATTTTGGCTTTAAATTCTATGGGAATTTACCCCCAATGTCAACATAGTTTTATATTAGTGTGGGGATGCGGCTTTTCTTGTATCACAGGAGTCTAGCTGCTCTCATCATGGCTTCTCCAGGGCTGTTCACAAATCAGAGTCTAGTCGCTTCTCTGGAGACAATTTCAGAGTCTAGCTGCTCACTTCTCTGGGCTGTGTAGGTGCTTCTCTGAAGACATTTTCAGAGTCTAGCTGCTTCTCTCAATACCCCCAAGTTTAGCTTATTGAACAAGAGGCCCAAGTTATATCATAGGTACTGGTAGCTTTATTTTATTGTTTAGATGTGATGTGGAAATCAGCATGTAAACTTAGTGAAATACAATACTTGTCATGTCATCAAAAGATAAGAATTTTAAGATATTGATAAATGTTCCCTTTGGGGCCCCACCCTAACCCCTAGGGATGGGGCAGGAATCCCAATTTTACAATGTAATACCCTCATTCACCAAAGATGATTCTGATTAAGTTTGAGTAATTTTCTGCTGAAAATAGATAAAATATACCCAAAAGTGTTATTTCCCTATATAAACTATAGTAAACTTTACCCCCACCCCAAGGGGGAACGGATGGCTTGGGGGTCCTGAAATTGACAATTTCAATAAAGCCCCTGATGATCTTTCTTTCCATGCAGAGAAAATGACAGTAGTACCTCTGAGTGTGGAGGAGAAGATTTTTGAAATATTGGTTAATTTTCCCTTTGGGGTCCAGTCCTGGCCCCAGGGGTTGGGGTAGGAATCCCAATTTTACAATTACAATGAGAAGAGGTTGAAAATGTAAAAAGTTTATGCACGACGGACGACGCACGGAAAGCGATTAGAATAGGTGACTTGAGCAAAGCTATGGTGACCTAAAAATATTAGCATAAATGCAAGTTTAATACAGATATATGGAAGTAATATTGTTGGAGGGAGTAGCCCCTGATGCTCCAAATGTATTGATGTTTGTAAATATGTTCAGTGTTCCCACTCAATTTTTTATCTTGGGGTTTTGGTACCCCCAGGGTTTGCAAATTGGGGGTACACTAGCAGATTTTGGGGGTACACTGGTATGTATTTTGGGGGTTCCAATTTTTATTGTTTTAAATTATGTACTAACAGTGCTGATGTCTGTTATTTCGTTGTACCTTAATCTATTAAGCGATGAGATGATGATATCATATTTCTTTGTGATAGCTGTATTCCGACTGATCATCTAGCCTCAAACAATCAAATTCCTCATGCCATTTGGTTTGAAATCTTTATTATTTTTACGTTTTGCATTGGCAAGTTCCCCGGAGTGCTGATTCCTCCATGCTTTCATTTATGAGCGCCGTCCGTTTGTTTTACCGTTGAATCGGAGTTTGGGCAAACTGAAAATAAACCTTGCAGCGTGGTTTGCTTCAACATTTTGTTTGTGTGTATTCTTCTGGGTAGTCAAAGTGCTTTACCATCCAGGCGAGTGGGCCTTAACGATTTACATATTAAAGCGTTTTCATGAGCATTAGACTACCTACCTGCCGTTTCGCCTTTTGTAAATAACATTTGGTCGAGGTGGAATGTAAGATTATTTTGAGAATATTTTGAATGCGAGACACACAAAATATTCTATGCGTGCAGGTAACATAAGGCAGTCAAAATCTGTACGTGATTTATCTAAAATATGCGAAAATTATGCACATTTCTGTGTAAATGGGAACACTGATGTTGCTAACAAGAGTAATACACAACTGTTTCTTGTGTGTCAGTTGTATATAAAATCATATTGTTGAGATCTTTCCTATGCTGGTTAGAACATAGAACAAGGACGAAAGTAATTCAATTTAATTCAACTGATCAATCGATTCTGAACTGATGGAAATGAATTATAACCTCGTATGAACATCGTCTATTTTTTTTACAGAAAGGGCATGGGTTTTTAATCATAACAGATAAAATACAATCATGAATTTAAATGGTGAAAAATAGACTCACAAAAAAATGAATAAAAAAGTTACCTATCTGTATCTTTGGTTCTGGTACCTCCTCCATCAAGGACTGAATCTGTGAGAGATTGTTCTTAGCTTCCTCTAGCTCCTCAAACAGGAGGATGACATCCTCCCGCATGCCCGACCCTGGAGGCACCCCTCCATAAGTCTTCTTTTTCAGTAGGATATTAGCCTTATTGGTACGGGGGTTTAGAGGCTCACCTTCATACGAGTCCATCTCCATGATCACAGCATATGCATGGAATCTGTACAAGTATAAAAGGTATGGTTCAAATTCACGAATATTTGATATATGAAATTAATACAAGAGGCCCATAGGGCCTGTATCGCTCACCTCGATATCTAAGCAATCATGGCAAAATATTCTCCAAATGAGATCCAAGGGAATAGGCCAGACCCAAGGCCAATCCTTGCAGCATATCTGGAATAGGTTTTTCATGCCCAGTAATTTTATGTATGGTTATGGGGTGGTGATCTCAACTATTTCCAAGCTGTGACTCCTAAACTAGGTCCCTAGGGTTGTGGCTAGACCCCAGGATCAATTATAATTTCATGACTGCATTCCGATTCGTCTCTTTATGCCCATCATTTGTATATATAGTTTTGGGGTGGGGATCTTAACCGTTTCGAAGTAATAACCCAGGGGTTAAGTCTCCATGGGTGGGGCAGACCCCGAGGCCATCCTGAAAGCATATGTGCATTCATCTCTTTATTCTTAACAGCAATTGTATATATGGTTATAGGGTGGGGATCTTAACTGTTTCCAAGCTGTGACTCAGAAACTAGGTCCCTAGGGGTTTGGTCAGACCCCAGGGTCTATTTCAGTATCATGACTGCATTTGCCTCTTTATGCCCAGCATTTGTATATATAATTTTGGGGTTTAACTTTTAACCATAACCCCCATTTGTGCCCCATCCATCCCTCCATGCCCCTGGGGATGGGGCAGGTTCTTATTTTTTCATATCATCTAATTGCCATCTGGCATCATAATCATTCCAACCAAGTTTGAATAATACCCTGCTGAAAAGGGACAAAATATACCCAAAAGAATTATTTCCCTATATAAACTAAAGTCACATTTACCCACTCCCAAAAGGTGAATGGATGACCCGGGGGTAATAAAATTGAAAAATAGATAAAGCCCCTGACAGAATTTTCATCTATGCACAGAATTTGATTGTACATAATTTGTACTACATCTGAGTCTGAAGAAGATTTTAAAAATATTGGTTAATTCTCCCTTTGAGCCCCACCCTTGCCCCTGGGGTTGAGGTAGGAATCCCAATTTTACAAGTTGATACCATCTTCTTCCAAGGATGATTCTCACCAAGTAAGAATAATTTCCTAATGAAAATTGCCAAAAAATGCCAAAAAGTATTATTTTCCTATAAAAACTATAGTAAATTTTACCCCCTCCCCAAGGGAGAAAGGATGGCCTGGGGGTACTGAAATTTACAATTTAAACAAAGAATCCTGATGATCTTTCCATCGAAGCAGAAAAATTGACTGTAGTACCTCTGAGTCTGGAGCAGAAGATTTTTGAAATATTGGTTAATTTTTCCTTTGGGGCCTCACCCTGGCCCCTGGGAATGGGGAAGGGATCCCAATTTTACAATTTTGTAGCCTCATCTACCAAGGATGATTCTCATTAAGTTTAAAAAAAATCCATCTACTGGTTCTTGAGAAAAAGTCGAAAAATGTAAAAAGTTTACGCACGATGCATGACGGACGAGGACGGACAGAAAGCGATCAGAATAGGTCACTTGAGCAAAGCTCAGGTGACCTAAAAATACATACAAATGGCATCTAAATTTTTTGTTAGAATATCAATCTCACACGTTTTGTAACTTGTGAATGTTTTTGTACCTAATGTTTCTTTGTCGAGGCATTTTACTTACTTTCCACCAGTGCATGGTGCGAAGTCTCTGAGAAAGCGGACGGTGTCCGAGCTTCCACAGTTATATGACACACAGTGAACAGGGATCTTCCGTCGTAGTGCTGCCACCTACAACATGTCATCACATCAAAGTATCAGGGCGCTGATAATGAGAGCGGCTAGGAGAAAGAGGAAGGTGCACGTGGCTGCAGATGATATTAAGGGAGGAAAAAGGGGGATCAAAGAAGTGGTAAAGTTCACATTTTAAGATCAAGGGAGGAAATCCAGTTCAGGATTTTTTTTATTAAAATTTCTGAAGGATACCAATACCAACTTAAATTATCCAGGCTCCAGATGATGTCATAAGGACTATGATATCGGAGAGGAAAAATGGAAAATTGAGGAAGGTAGTAGGTAGCTGGTGTAGGGGTTAAAAGTGATGAATTAAAAAAAGGGTTAATATTTATAGCTTAAATTATTTGAAATTTAAGATAAATATGAGATATAAAAACCGAATGAACATCCATATGTTGCTCAAGTCTGATCAACAAGAATACAATCAACAGATGTACATAACATGAAAGTGTCAACAGATGTATATAACATCAAAGTGTCAACAGATAAAAGATGACATAAAGTGAAAGTGTCAACAGATAAAAGATAACATAATGTAAAAGTGTCAACAGATAAAAGATAACATAATGTAAAAGTGTCAACAGATAAAAGAAAACATAATGGTAAAGTGTCAACAGATAAAAGATAACATAATGTGAAAGTGTCAACAGATAAAAGATAAAAGAAAACATAATGTAAAAGTGTCAACAGATAAAAAAAAACATAACATGAAAGTGAATCCCATTGCAATCTCTCTCATTTTTATTTTTTTTAATCTCATAACATCACTATGAAACTTCTAGATTTCATAGTAATCAGTAGAAATCTGGAAATGATTACAGCAATGGCTTTTTCCAAATATTCTTTCACACAAATCCTGATAGGCAATGATCAATGACATTGTTGTGCGCATGTTAACGAAGTTAATATAGGGCTTACCTTTTCTTTCATGATCTCTTTACAGGTATCTATAGATGTTCCTTCTGTAAACAGGTAAACAGCTTCATTCTGTAAACAAACAATCATCACACAATAAAATCAAATATTATTTTCATATATATGTGTTCATATTATTAAATCACTTGTCTTCAAATAGACACAATATTGATGTGATTTGTTTCTTACAATATATACCAAATAAAGTCGTATTTTAGTTTTCATCAATCGGATTTAATATTGTTTAAAATTTCTGAAACAGTCTAAACAGAAATTAAGCAGAGATATTTTTGGTGACTACATATATATGATGATACAGATTGTGAATGTTGTACTTATAAAAGCTGACATAATTTTTTAAGTATTCAGCACTTACTGAAGCATGACTTACGTTTTTATCAGCCATTGCCTTGAGCACAGCTTCACAAGCAGCAGACCGTGACACTGACTGGAGACGGTCTAGTGACCACACCCAATCAACAGCTCCCTGTATGGTGTCAAAGGTCACTGGTACACATTCCTCCTGATATGAAACCAAATCATCCACAGCCCTGAAACATCAGCATAATGTTTACTTTTAAATATCATAGTGTTTAATAGACAGTGAAATTACATAGTGTTTAATAACATGGTGTTTTGTAGTTAAATTACACCCTGTTAAGTTGCATAAAGCAATTGAGCAGCGTTTTTTTTAAAATTTGTATGCAGTATGAACGCAAATCGGTTACATGCAATATGGATGTAACTAATTTGCGTTCATACTGCAGGCAAATTTTATAAATAAAGGCATGAACATTTTAAAAACGCTGTTCCAACATTGGCGGAACAGCCCTATTGGCACCAATAATTAACCATAGTCATTTGAGCGATTGATGCAGGGGCATTCTCCATGTTATTCGAAGCGAAGCGACAAAACTCTCATTGAACAAGGTTAATCTATGACATCATAACTAAACAATGTATTACATCAGGAGAGTTTTTGCTTTCATACTCAAATGAAATTCATTTCTGCTGGTAATGTTCATGTAGAGGGTTGCAGTGCGTATATTATTATGACATCACTTCCTGGAGACGATAGTAGTTCTCCAAGCTCCACTAATTCTACTAAACATAAGGAACCATAACACCAGGACTAAGAGAAATCGGTGCCTGGTGTCACAATGCCCAATCTGACCTCTTTATTTGAGGCTGTTACCAACAAATACCTGAAGTCTACATAAAACCATGCTGAATGGCTACAAAGAGGGCAAACATGGCAGACAACAGGAGAAGGAAGCCGGAAGGAGATGAGGGTCCACAACAAAAATGAAATTGAATCAGCAGCAAGTGACAAGATCGGAATCAGATTTTGTTGTAAAATACACGGGGGATACACAGGATGAAGATAAATGTACTTCCTGCAGCTGATCATTGACTCACCGACTCCAACCGAAAAAAGGTCGAATGCGGCAGATGTTAAGCTGCCTGTAATGCACAAAATGACTAAAGATGTCCGCAATGGACTATACAACGCTGAACCGAGCAGACCTAATCTGTGCTTCTGCACTGAATGTCGAGGGCCTGTAGAAAAAGTATAAGTACGGACAGGAACATAGAACTGAGATGCAAAAAAAGCACTACAGGAAATGCAGGAGAAATAATCTGAAAATGAAAGAAAACATCATTCAATATGTGCCAGATTGTTAGGAGAAATAATTATGTTGAACTGATAAGAGTGCTACGCCTAAGGGAGAGGAAAGCTGAGAGGAATGCCGAGAGGAAAGCTGGCGACATAAACGTTATACAGAAGATATTCTCAGCCTGTACTTAACGCTTCGGGATGAAGATTTACTTTTGGTATCACGGTTAGGCAAATACAGAAGCTAACGAAAGCAAACAATATCTCGCTGAGAATGATGCTGGTGATGGAAGGAACACTTCAGTTAACCCTTTCATCCCTGTGTAACTTTATTAACTCTACCATGCATTGATCTGGTTGAGTCCATTTTGGTCTACAGTGGTGAAAGGGTTAAAGAAAGATTTCTTCGAGAACATCAGCAAGTTAAGGGAGAACATAAAATTCAAGAAATTAGTATTAGCAATGAGCTAACAAAAACTGAAAGAGAAAAGGATAAGAAAATGAAAGACCAGGTAAAAAGGAGATCAATGCATTGGGGAATTGACACCTTCCAAGTTTAATGCGGTCCAGTGTGGGCGTGATGGATTATGAGATCTCAAAGAGGAAAAAGATGTACCAAAAAGAAGCATTCATAAAAACTTTTTACACTAATATAATGAGGATCAGTTTCGAAACAAACTGGATGCTCAACTTCCGATTAGGAAAAAAAATGATATTATAACCCATATAATTGGTATTAAGGGGAAAATCCAGGGGCCTTTTGTTATAATCAAGAAATATTGAGTTAGTTAAGAAGCCAGACTCCAATTTATGTTTGAAGAATATATCTTTGTGTTAGCAATAAACTTAAACCACGATGATGAACTATTGGTGTGAACCCGTGAAAATAACATGAATTTAAAAACTCTTTTGTCAGAAATATCTAACAAATATTCAACTCATGTACTTTCAATTACCCTTATCTTAATTGGGAGACATGGGGACATTACGGCCAGGCATAGGGCAATTACGTTGGCAATGTAATTAATTAAATTACACATTACATTGGAAAAGTAGCATTACCATTACATGGTTTTCCTAATGTAATTAATTACCATTACAATTACATTGCCAGTGTAATTAATTACCATTACACATTATTTCTATTTAATATTCTGGGTATTTTTTTTTAATCCAAGCCAATAAAAAGACAATTTTAAATGACATATGTACCTTTATTTGTTATTAACCTGTTACCTTCATGTGGGTTACAAAGTTTGAGGTCACTTTCAAACTTCCAGAGATGGTGGTAAAACAATGGCAGCATTTTGCCTTGAAATTCCCTGTTGTGTGTTTGGGAATTTCAAAATGGCTCAAAACGCTTGAGTCCATCCTGCACGGAGAGCTGGACCTTCAGAAATGTGGTTGTTCAAGTTTTCAAGTGAAGGTGTAATTCAGTGTTAGTACTGTTCACTATAAGTTCACCCTTACAAAGATAGAACGTTCTGAATGGTCTACCCTGTTATGACACATGTAATCTGTGTGGCAACCTTTTGTTATAAGATTGCCCGTTCCTACTGATGCTTCAGTACAAATTTGGTTGAAATCCTCTTTGGTGTTTAGGAGGAGAACGGTTTTAAAGTAAAAGTTGACGGCGGACGACGACGGACGACGGACGACGGACGCTGCGCCACGGCATAAGGCCCCGTCCCGCTGTCAACGGTGGTTAAACCTGACTCATTTATATAAGAAATGATTGTTTCTAAATGATGTTTCATACTGAAATTGTTGTAATCTACTTTTGGCATTAACGAGTAGTGTTTAAAAGCAGGATTTTAGGTAATTTCCATTCTTGGGGTGCTGCCCTCTCTATCCCCCAGGGGTCGAACCAGCCTCATTTATTCAAGAAACAATTGTCCTCCTTGCCCCCCCCCCCCTTCCTAATGATATTTCAGACCATATTTGGTTGCAATATCCATTTAGGCATTAAGGAGGATAGCATTTTAAAGCAAATTTAAAGCTAAGTTCCACTTTCGAGGCCAACCTGAAAAATAACAACACTTGGTCAGGACCATCTCAGGATCATTTCAGGCAAGTTTGACCTCAATCCCACTGGTGGAAGTTGAGAAAAAGTTTAAAATGTGTTTTTCAAGATGGCGTTTATGGTGGCCATCTTGGATTTTGCACCAACCCAAAAAATAACAACACTTGGTCAGGACCATTTCAGGATCATTTCAGGCAAGTTTCAGTTCAATCCCACTGATGGAACTTGAGAAGAAGTTTAAAATAGGTGTTGTTTAAGAAAACCATCATTGCGCAATCATGTTACAAAATGGCCACCATGGCTGCCATGTTGAAGTGTTGACGGGGCTGAAAAATAACAACACTTTGTCGTCTTCCTTTCCTTAACATCCCCATCAATTTTTAGCTCAATGGAATCATGTTACAAAATTGCCACCATGGCTGCCATGTTGCAGTTTTGACAGGGCTGAAAAATGGCAACACTTTGTTGGCTTCCTTTCCTTTACACCCCCACCAATTTTTAGCTCAATGGAATTATGTTACAAAATGGCCACCATGGCTGCCATGTTGAAGTTTTGACAGGGCTGAAAAATAGCAACACTTTGTTGGCTTCCTTTCCTTTACATCCCCACCAATTTTTAGCTCAATGAAATCATGTTACAAAATGCAACAGGCCCAATTTCAGTACCCTGGGCCTCTTGGTTATTGAGAAGAAGTTGTTTGAAGATTTTTAGACATTTGACCCCTGTGACCTTGAAAGTGGGTCAAGATCATTCATCCCAGCATACTACAGGCCCAATATCAGTACCCTGGGCCTTTTGGTTATTGAGAAGAAGTTGTTTGAAGATTTTAAGACATCTAACCCCAGTGACCTTGAAAGTGGGTCAGGTGAGCTAAAAATGTTAACAGACGACTCACGATGCTCGACGGAGGACGTCAGACAAAGACGGATAGTAATAGGTCACTTGAGCTAAAGTGGAACAGGAACAGCCAGTACTCAGCCTACACACAAACTTCAAATGTTTGACTTCCGCCGATCACCTGATTTTGTGAAACGAAACTATATATCTAGAATATAATAATAATCAACACCCATATTCCTTTCAATTTTGAAAGTTGATCTTACTTGATGTTTTTTGGCATTAAACACTGTATATTATATATTTAAAAAAGTTTATGTCCGCACTATTTCAAATCATCGGTCACCATAGTAACCATCCAGGACACTCATTGGCCGACATACTAGTTAGAGAATGCAAACTCTTTACATACTGAATTGTCCGTTGGTAGTTTGTTACAAATTGTCATAAAAAATGTGATCAAATTGTTTTTTGAAATTTTCATATAAAAATAAAATCACTGTGTTAGTGATAACACTGTGATTTTATTTTCTTATCAAAATTTCATTTTTTTTATCATAATAACTAAACAATTACCTTATCAGGTTAAATTTGGCAACTTGTGTAAGTTGTTCAAAGATGACCCTCTCTAGTGCTATCTTGTACTGGTCAAACTGTTGTGGTGACATGTTCCGGATATCTAGCACAATGGTCACACCCTTTTCTTCAATTACGCCAAATAGTCGCCGGCTTTCTGATGTCAGCCATTCAAGTCTCCTCTTATAGAGAGCTATTGCTTGGAGTAATCTCCCTTCCAATTGTTTCAGCATCTGTCGGCTACATGTTACCTTCATACGAAATATAACATTGAAGTCAAAAGCAACAGATGTACAGACTTATCTTTTTTATATATAATAATATACATATATAGTTTTGATGCATATAACATTATTTAACTGTATTATTGAGATAAAAAAAAATAGTTTTAACCTGGGCACATCTCAAACCGTTTGCAATATGATAAAAAGATAGACCATGTAAAAAAGATTTTACAAGTACTAAGTCTCTTGTCTTCTGAAAACAACTTTTGCCTTAAAAAAACATTTTCAATTTTCAGAACTCTAAAGTTTCACCACATACTAGGTATTTAACTTCAAGATTATTTGTACTACAAAATATTGACTGATTGCTGATTGTTTCTTTGCAAGTCAAAAGTTTTGATATCAATTAAGTCTAGGGTGTTTTCTTAAATTGAAGCATGTAGATTTTAGCTAGACCTTAGTGGTGAAACTTGTATTGAAATTTATCTATAACTTTTCTCTTTGGTAGCTTAGCATATAAAAAATGTGTAAAAACAGGTTTCAGTCTGAGATCCATGTTAACTTACATTGAATGTTTTGCCATCACTTGGACTGAATATCTTGCTGAATAACCCTGAGCTGTATCTGGAGCTAATCGGTCGCTTCAAAGACGAGTCAAAATCTGTAAAGGACAAAATGCAAAATTAGTCTAAAAGCAGTCTTCCTAATCATGAACTTTCTATTCCACTACGGCCACTAAACAACAATATTAAATTATTGTATCATATATTATACGTTCAGTAATGCTGCATCGCCCAATCAAAATGTCACCCTATGCTATATAGTAAAATTCATATTCGCCATGACTAAATTTCACCCTCCACATATTTGAATACTTTATATATATGTATATTATGCTGTTAATTGAACTGTCACTGTTATGATAAATTTGCCCTCATCACACAGAGGGAAAAGGTGAAAGTTTAACTGCAGTAAAACATTCTCGTTTTACAGTACCTGTTCTGCCTGAAAATGTTTACTTCCTCATTATAAGTGTCCTTTTCCAAATTTCCATGTAGTAATTGTTCCCTCCCAAGAATAAAGTGTCCTCAGCCATTGAAAAAGTGCCCTCTCCAACATTATAAATGTCCCCTCCCATTTAAAGGGTCCTCTCCAACATTATAAATGTCCCTTCCCATTTTAGGAGTCCTCTCCCGAGAATAAGAATCCTTTCCCAATTAACAGATGGCCTCTCTCCAAAGTAATTAAAACGACCATATTATAAGCAATATGGTTACTTATCTGAGGAATAATTGTTCTCTTTTTTGTCCTCTCACATGCAATAACCATCCTCTTCAGACATTTGACAAGCAATACGTCCTATTTTCAAGCAATAACACCCTTCTCATAAGAACTAAGTCCCCCCTCACAACCAATAACTCCCATCTCATAAGAACGAAGTCCCCCCTCACCTGGTACTAATCTCACACTTATAATCTTAAAAGTGTACTAAAATACAGCTACAGGCAGAATATCAGTGTTTGATTCATAAGAACCTATTAAAAGATTTAAACATATGATGCCCGTGACCTTGAATGTCCAACAAGGACATTAGGTTGAACAGAGTTTATATAGTCTTCCAACCCAGCATGCTTCTAGCAAAATATCATTACCCTGGTTATACAGAACAAATCATTTAAAGATTTAAACATATATTGACTACTATGACCTTGAATATGGGCAAAGGCCATTCATTTGAACAAACTTGGAGCCCTTCATCAAAGCATGCTGATGGCCAAATAGCATCACCCTTGGCCTTTTGCTTATTAAAGTAGAAGTCATTCAAAGTTTTTAAACATATTTGACCCTTGTGACCTTGAATAAGTCAAGGTCATTCATTTGAACAAAATTGGTAGCCCTTCATCCTAGAATATCACTGGCAAAATATCATCACTCTAGGCCTCTTGGTTATTCAAAAGAAGTTGTTTAAATGTTTTAAACATATTTGACCCCTGCGACTTTGAATATAAGTCAAGGTCATTTATTTGAACAAATTTGTTAGGCCTTCATCCCAGCATGCTTCTTGCCAAATATCATCACCCTAGGACTTTTGGTTACTGAGAAGAAGTTGTTTAAAGTAAAAAGTTGATGCCGGACAGACGAATACTGACGGACGGACGCCGGACCATGCCATAAGCTCACTTGGCCCTTCAGGCTAGGTGAGCTAATAATCATTTTCTTCAAGGCATATATTGCTCTCTTAAAACGAATGCAATAACTCCCTTTCCACAAGCAATAAGTCCCATCACACAAGCAATAAGTCTCATCACACAAGCAATAAGTCCCATCACACAAGCAATAAGTTCCCTATCACAAAAAGTAAGCATCATCTTCCAGGCATATGATGCCTTTTTACATGCTATACAAGCAATGCAAGAGGTCTCCCCTTACAAAAAATAAGTATCCTAGCTCTTCCAGTCATATTATGCTGTCTTACAAGTAATGCAATAAGCCCCCACTCACAAGCAATAAGTCCCCTCTCACAAGCAATAAGTCCCCTCTCACAAAAAGTAATTATATCCTCTTCCAGGCATATAATTCAATCTTAAAGCGCCTGTTCGGGGGGAAAATGTCATATTTGCTCAAATGGCATACATATGTTGAAAATATTTCCTTATGAAATATACCGATTCAAATTTTGGTGAAATTCACTCCCTAAGAGTAAAAATTATAATTATTGTAAAGAAATCCTAAAACGGCAGCTGACAGTCTACAACTCTCACTTGACCCAGATCGGTGATGTAATTTTACCGCATGCGCGTCATCAACAACCCCATTCATTGTAAACATCGTAGCGAAAGAAAGATGTGTGCCAATTTGCCAAAGCCATTATAGGCATAAGATATCGTCAAAGAACGGTTACATAATCCACTACAAATCGCAGGAAAAAGCAATCGGCGTTGGGCAACCCTTTAAAAAGACTTCGGAAGCAGCATAGTAGGTGGACAGCTGCTCAACACACGAACATGCAGCGCAGATTATTCTCGATAAGTGGTAAGTGTGCCAGGCTGTCAACTGTTTGCAATTATAGAACATAAGTTGTATATATTTACTTTAATGTGAATGATTTTCTTGGCAAACGGTACCTTTAAGATGATATTAGGGGGCACATGTTATCAGTGTCCAGCAAAAATGTAAATTTAAGGGAAACTGAAACCCTCCTTTCACATCTGTTTTGTCCGATTTCAGTGGGGCCCCTTGGGGGGTAATTTCAAATTTTTTAGTGTACAGACAAAACATAATTTTGTTTGGGGTGGTTTTCAAAATTATTATTATTTTTTATTATTTTACACATGTTTTTATTTTAATGTTAAGTGTTATGATATAAAATAAGGGTTTTCATAACATCAATTAGTAAATTGTAAGGCCAGTATCAGACGAGTATAATTTATCTATAATTCTCCTACATCTAAGACGTTAGAGCTACATGTATTATATATATGTAATGATACAGATTATACTCTGCTGAAAGTGATTACAACCAAATCTACTGTTCATGTGAATTATTTAATAATGTTCAAGGATTCTGATTCATAGAACTTTGTTTATATTGACAATATTGACGGAGGAAGGTCTAAAGATGAAGATGAAGATGAAGTTTGTTATATATATATACTGCAAAAATAAATGTTTCCAGTTAAAAAGTTCCCTACAAAAGTCGCTGGAAGGGGTTGTGGTGGTGTTTGCTGGTTGATTGCTTTGAAAAACTCTCTGATGTTTTAGTAATAGACAGTACCTGCATTCTGTTTACAGTAAATAAAAAACAAATATTATAACCCCCCTCTCCTAATTGATGTACATGTTTACTTTTTACACCAAAATACCATACATGAAGCTTGTAAGTGGGGCAACTTTAAAATGAGGAGAGATGACAGACAACATTGAATAAGACTTCCCTCGCTACTCATTTATAATTATAGCACATGAACGAATGGTTGTTTGAATGAAATGATGAATGTGTGATTGAACTTCAGCAAGGAGATGGATGAATATATCATGTGAAAAACAAAATATGAATGAATGTATGAATTAATGATTGTCTGAGACGCAGAGTATGGTGTATGAGAGCCCTCCTGCGAGAGGACATTTATTGTAAGGAAGCTGATACCAGGACCCAAACCCTGGCAGCTTTCAATTGTAAATTTAAATCTGGAACAATAACAGTTTTAAAAAAAAAAAGAGTTTTTCGGCTCCTTTCATTAGATCAGTTATACACAACAAAGAAACCGTAACTGACAATATTTGTCTAAAACTGAGACTTGTATACAGAGAGACTAGTAACTTGTTCTTTGCCTATAATCCTCGTGGTGTGAGGTCTTTAAGAAGAGAGGCCCTGGAAGGCCCAATATGCCAGGTATTATATTGCAACTTTTATTGGTAACTATACATAATGATAGCAAGTTTGATTACAAATGTGACTTTGAAATTTGACCTGGTGACATTTAACTGTAGCCATGTGATTCCTTGATGGTTTCCAACCAACTCTCCTTTTAGGAGACATAACAATATTCTTGTCAACAAAATTAACCTCCGTAACCTTCACCTTTGGTCGTGCAACCCCTTGTTCTATCTACATCTACAACATCCATAAGTTTAGAGCCATGAGTCTTACAATGATCCAGTTAAGTTTTATGATTGCATAATTGAAATACTGTAGGGTAATTAGTATGTGAAACTTGTGTACATTATAACATTCTGCTTTCTTTATATCACAATAATGTAGAATAGATTAAAACTGGATCTAAAAAGTGATGTTGTGCATAACAAACAAATCTACAATCGATTGATAGGCCTATTTATCAAAGTTTCAATGACACAGTGTCAATATGCCTGTTTACTTGAAGTTGAAACGTCTCTTTGCTTCAAGTTGGGTCTAGATACGTCTTTGGGCCGTTTTGATTATTTAATGAGTATTCCTGACATTCCCAGGCAAACACTTACTGTGTTTTCGCTAACGATATGCTATATGGTTGCTTGAAAATAGTAAATACAACTTTACAAATGAAACAATGATATAGATGACGGGATTTAGATTACCCCTTATGGGGCCCCATCGCTGCATTGGACGACGATTTGCAGTGATTTCCATGTTAATTGACATTATCATCAATACAGTTATATATAACATCGAGGGATAGGTAGGAATGTACTACACTTGCATCATACATGACCTCTTAAATCAATTATTTATGTATAATATTGCTGTCTTGTCCGCTAGATGAGTCTGACATATTGGCTAAGAGACAATGTGCTATTGTTGATATCTTCACTGCCTCGCTTTCAAACAACCACGTGACGTATATAAATAGATCTGTGCTAAATTTACATGGGGCTTTCCCAAGATTAAAGTGGTCAAAACTTGACATTGCAAGCAGAACTCGACCATCATATTGCTGTGGTATAACTTTTGGAAGACCAGAGAACGCCTTTAGACCCATTTAATGTGTATTTTTTTCCCGAACAGGTGCTTTAAAAGCAATGCAAAAAGTCCCTAATTTCCACAAGCAATAAGTCCCCTAGACTCTTACAAGGACTAATTCCCCTCCCATAATAAATAAGCAGCCTCTTCCAGGCATTTAATACTCCCTACCAAGCAATAAGTGCTCTCCTTAGCAATACATACCGTCTCCCAAGCAATAATTGACCTCTCATATGCAATATGCTTCCTATTCAAAGCAATATGAGACTTCTCTCATTGTCTTCTCCAAAACAATACTTATCCTCTCTAAAGCATTAAGTGTCCTTTTATAAGTGTTTAGTATTTCCTGTGCCCTAGACCCTTCTTTTCATGTCTGTCCCCCCTGCCTAACTCCATCATTTGGTTTGGTCCGAGTCATGTACAAACAACTTTGTATTGTTTTAAAAAACTGAATGCTTCCATTGTGATGTAATAATTTAATTAATGTGTTTTCTAATTCTCATTCCAATTAAACAGGATGAACATGCTTGTTGGGTTATTGTGTTATTTATAAACTAATGGACTGAAATGAAAATGAAACACATTTAGCTACATAGATGAGTTTCATTTTCTGGCCTTGATTAATTTCTTTTCATTCTTGCGAGTTTACATTCTTCCAGTAGATTTCATACATCAAATAATTATTGATCAGAATCTGATGATAAATGATTCATTGAGTAGAGAGGCCAAGCAATACAACTTTGATCTAGACAGTTATTTTCATATCAGTATAGCTCCAAAAATTATTACAACAAAGCCATGGACTGATATCCCTACATAATAATATATTAATCAAGAAGCAGATAAGGGGTTATGGAGACAGGTAATCCCTGGTAATCCTACACCTGGGTATAACAGTTGTACAGGTTGACGCATGTACAAGTACAACATATATATATGTGTATTTTATTACCTCAGCAAACATGTTGTAATTAAAGCCTTGTTATCTTATCAGAGCTTACAGAGCAAATAGGAACATTTGAATTCAGAATATTTTCTGTAGTATTGAAATTAAATTTCATAACAACTAATTTTAGATTAAATATTGTCTCCATAATATTAAAAAGTAACCATTAACACTTACATTTCTCTACTGAATTAATAAGGCAAACATGTATTATTAAAAATCTTTCTGTGCTTACAATGCTTGTTAAAATATATTTTGGTAAATATGTACACAATCAAGGGGAGCGTAGATCTGCCACAGGTATTTAAAAACATCCCCAATACACACTGGGAAATAATGGAATTGCTATCCTTAGAACATGGCTGTGGCATTTATTGCCAGTTTAAATCACCATTATTCTAAATCAATTTTGCATATGGATCAAGGTCTATTCATATTGAAAGTACTATAGTAGTCATGTACAGATGTATTTATAAAGGCGGGAAACCAATCTAGATGAAATATAGCATATACTCAATATTTTTTCTGTGATGTCTTTATATATGGGAAAATGTTTCAGTAACTTATAATGCTTGATCCGTTGACCTCGGAAATAAAATATTTGGTTTTCCATTGAATACAATATATATATATTTCACTCATATAAAACGAATATGTGATAACAACAAAAAAACAGCGTTGTAGCAAAAAGTGTCTATGCAGCAGACTCGAGAGGTGATAACTTCTTTGACAAATATCCTCAACCAGATATTGACATTTTTTAATATTATTCAGAGAGAAGCTACAATTGACACTGTTACCCAGAAGATGGTTGAACTAAGCTACCTAAAAAGTACATTGTTAAAAGAAATATTTGTAAATATCACGACAGGTATAAATTATATTTTATGTAAATAATGTAAATAATGTACTGTCACTTCTGTCTCTCAGAAGATGATATTTTTATCAAATCGTTTACATTGAAAGTTAAACGCGCAGTTAAAATGTATATTTGCGTGCTTTGGTACAATTATTGAGTGACAACATGGCAACATGTAAGGATATTGCACGTGAACAGAATATTATGAACGACAAAATTAATACCATTAACAAACACATTCAAAGTTTAAATTTCAAGTATACAGGAACCGTTCCCTCATGGTTGTAACAATGGACTGTCAGTAAGTCATTTTCATAAAAAAAGATTTGGTGACCTGCAGCTCTGCTGTATTTCCTTGTTTCTTGTTATTTTCAAGAGCGGGATCATATCATATATATATGATATATATATTCAACTGGAAACAATTTGTGTTTTCATCACCACATTGCATTTTCTGTTTATTTCATTTCCAGAAACCAAAGGAGAATGACAAGTGAGTCATCAATAATTTCATGTTGTGTGGGGACTTCTGACTAGATGTCACCATATCATATCAGGGGCAGGGAAAAACTTTTAAAAGCACTCGTTCGTCGGGCAAGTGGACTGGTAAAAAGTACTCGTCCGGATGGAAAATTCACTTGTCCGAAAATTTTATACTAAAATGTTGTTTAAATAATTTGTTAATGAATTGTATCTATTATATAAACAATTAACATGTATTATTGTGTGGTAATGTATGGCATACAATTAAAAGTCACAAAACCTGTTAATATTTGTTTGTTTTGTTTAAATAGTCCATAATAACATGTAAACAGTTCAACACAAATTATTAGTCTTAAGTAACTCATAAACACAAATAATTAGTCATTTCAACACATTGACATTCAGTCGTCAGAGCCATCTTCTGAATCATTTGGATAGCCTCGTTTTTTATCCATTATAACAAGTACAGTTTCATCGGAACACTCGGAAGTTATGGATCAGTTTGTAATGTTATCAATTAAACGCTTGGTTCTTAGGAGCCAGGCATGGCATTGGCGGGTCTTTACAAGCGTAAATTAAAGTTAGACTTGGTATTCACCAATCTTGTCAAAAATGAAAACAAATAACGAGAATGCGTCGAAGGGGCTTGGCATTTATTATCACACAGAAAAAACGATAAGTAAAGTTACTAAAACTGATATTTCCTTCAAAATTTACTTGTCCAACGGACTAGTTACTGTTTTTCTGCCGGCAAAAACCACTCGTCAGGACGAGCGGACGAGTCCTTTTGCCGGCCCCTGCATATATGTATTGCTAATCTATTTTGACATCATTATATATTTATATATAAATGTCAGTATTGAAAATAACACATTTTCTCACTATTAATTCCTCATATTTTACATGAATGAATTAATTCAAATTGTCATTTTTATTTATAAACCAACTGAAACACAAATGTGAAAATGAATATTAATATGTCTCAGCGGTTTACAGTGAACTTCAATCTTACCATCGCTGTGTTTGAATCCGATAGTTGGGAGGATCTGTTTGAGGCTGATCTTGTTCTTCTTCAGGCCATAGTTCTGTAGCCATTTCTTAGTGGATATAAGAGAGCGAACATCCAGCTCCCATTCTTTGCTGGGGGTCTTCTTCTCACTAATGGCTGGGTCATATTCCACATCCTGGGTAATGGAGGCAGTGGGAGTAGTGATATCAAAGGTTACTCCTGAAATCAAGCAGAAATTAGAAAATGTCAGTACCACATACATTTTAATACGCTTGCATGGTCAAATGTTACACTTTGACATATAATTATCTTTAAAAAGTAACAGTGAGCTTGACTTTGACCTTTGAATCCCAGAAATGGAAACTCATTCTCATAATTGACCTTTGTACGTATATGTTTGATTGAAATCTCAGTTATTAATTAATTATATAATGGATATTTGTAATACTATCAGGTTCCCCATAAAATTGGAAAGGGATATATAAAAAGCATTAGCCTAAATAACCTAAGATTAAAGTTATGTTCTTTTAAATGTTTGTTCTGAATAACTGGAAAATTATTAATGTGACAAAAAAATAATAATGTCTCCATAATTCAGATGTTAGCGGTCCTCGTCGGTATCTGTATTATGTAGGAAACAAGTAATTTCATGTGTGCCCGCTGTTCAGGTCTCACCCTAAGTTGAGAGCAAACTTAACTTAACTTGCATTGGTAGCTTTAAGTGCACTGCCTCCATCTCTCTCTCTCAAAAGAATTCAGACTAACCCATATTTTTTTTCTAAATCTTCCTAAAATAGGCAACTGTGCATGGATACCAATTAGGTAAGTTTGCACCAAACTGTATTTCATATTAAGAAACATGCAAGCAGTACACAATGCCACCTTTGTATAAAGTCTTTGCACTTTGTCACAATGGATAACTAAACTATTTAGGAAAGAAACATGACTCCATAAAGATAAACGAAAGATTAACCCGACTATAAAAGTGGGTCTGTTTGAATGCCATTGAAAGTAAACCCTTCACACTTAAGGTAGTAGAAATCGACTGGGAATTATTACCTTCTGAATATGCGTTTTTCTTGTATGGTTCACATGCCATCAGCCTTGTAGCCATCTTAAATGTCTTAAAATATTATGCTGACAAACCAACTGTAACTTTCCCTTTCGTCGTGTTTTCTTTTTTTATCCGGTCCGTTTTTTCAATCAAATCACTTTTTTGATTACTTATCCACGTGTAATCAAAGTCCCATATACCTCACATGTATAACCAGGGTAGCGTGAAAAACCTTTCACTTTCAGTGTCTATCAGTGTCACGCTAACCCATATCATGTTTTGAACACCTCAAACCTGCCAACAGCCGCCATCTTGTTTACATCGTAGTTGCCTGGGAGTAAGGTGCCCTTAAGAAAAAAAATAAAATAAAACATATATACTAAAAAAATCATTCACCCATTATATATTTACATAAAAAATAAAAAAGGAAAGTTCCTTTATTTTATAAGGTAATACATATTTTTGATAATTTTATAGGAAGAAACTATATTTGGCGCTTGTATTATCCTACCAAGATCACTTCTTTTACAAGCGTACACATGACCTGTAAACAATTTACTAGACCAAACAAAACCGATGACGTAAATCGCAAACTTGATGCCGGAAGAGAACTATCGAAATGGCGAACGCACTGAAATTGTGCTGTGATGTTGTTCGATGGTTTCCAGTCGTGTTTATAACGGCTATTGTGTTATGGTCGTATTATGCATACGTTGTACAACTTTGTGCATGTAAGTCCAACGATGACCAACACAGCATTTCCCATCAGTCGACATCGCTTAAAATGTTTAGTGCATGATTTGACATTTAAGTGTTTTGTCCTATTTTGGTGTAAAAATCGATAATGTAGCCTGGGTGATTTGGAGGCAATGGTTTATAATGGACTATTAATAATAATGTTGATAATATTCAGTATTCATTAAATTGTTAATATGATGACGAAAGGAATGTTTATCTTGAAACGGAGTTAATTTTTGAGCATTTGCTTACCCTTATTATGTGATATCGGCACATGACTTTGGTCACATTGTGGGCATTAAGGTTTCTTGAACATTTCTCAAAACATCCCACTTCATTCAATAACAATGTAATCCATGGGTGATCATGAGTCATTGTCAAATTGATATCGGGGTGTGTGACGGTGTGAATTTACAGAAAGATGGTGCATGTATTTTCCTGACTATTGGATTGCATTAATTGCGATCTCACTTAAAAGCGTCTTCAACCAACAACAAGCATCGCCAGACAAAATCTTTAAAAATACTGAATAAAGTAAGCGACATCAGAAGATATGTTGTTAATATGACTATAATACACCTCTGTACCAAATTTTAATTTGATATTTGATAAAATGACCGAGTTATGATGAATTGAATTTTTACGATCGTGGCTAGGCATATGTGTGTATTAGCATGTAAAGTAAAGAAAGCGTCACCAGATAATATCGTTACAACTACCTGCTAAAGTAAGCAACAGCAGAAGATATGTTATTAGTTAGGCTTTTATTGATATATATTCCAAATTTCAGCTCGATATTTGAAAAAAATTATTGAGTTATGATTAATTTATTATTACGATCGGCGGCGTGGCATAGGTGTGTGAATAGAACTCGACATATGAAGAAGCGTCTTCAGAACATATCTCTAAAATTCGTCGATTAAGTTATTTATTAAAATTTCTACCTGAAGTTTAGTATAAAGGTGTATCATAGTTAAATGAATAACATATCTTCTGATGTCGCTTACATTATAGGTTAATATTCGAGATATTGTCTGAAGACTCTTTACAATCTGTAGTGTTCTATTCACACACATATGCCACGCCGCCGATCATAATAATAAATTAATCATAACTCGATCATGTTTTCAAATATCAAGCTGAAATTTGGAATATATATCAATAAAAGTCTAACTAATAACATATCTTCTGATGTCGCTTACTTTAGCGGGTAATTGTAACGAAATTATCTGGCAACTGGCGACGCTTTCTACACTTTTCAAGCTAATACACACATGTGCCACGCCGCGATCGTAAAAATTCAATTCATCATAACTCGGTCAATTTTCCAAATATCAAATTGAAATTTGGTACAGAGGTGTATTATTGTCATATTAACAACATATCTTCTGATGTCGCTTACTTTATTCAGTATTTTTGAAGATTTTGTCTGGCGACGCTTGTTGTCACTTGAAGACGCTTGTTGTCAGTTGAAGATGCTTTTAAGTAAGACCCCATTAATTTTAAACTACTGACATGAACAGCAGTGGTTTTTTTGAAATTTACATGAAAATCTACATGGGAATTATCACCATGTCGGCTGGAAGCTGAATATATTCATTATCACTTGCAAGTATATATGCAACACATTAGTTGAAGGACAGATAAAAACATGTTTTACTTCAGGAACACCGCTTTAAATATGAAATAAAAATATTTTTTTTCATTTAAATTAAATGAGCCTGGGGATATATCTGAAAGAAACGTGATGGATACAATCCTCTGGGAGGCTATTGTGTTACTTACGTCAACGTTTCAATGAAATTGACGATTCACATATTAGAATCTGATGTTGGGTACATAATTGGTAAGATTTTATATAATTCAAAACATCGTTCAAATGTGATTTTTCATAACTTATTCAAGTGTTCAAAAGACTGATGTAATATGGTTAATTACTTTTTTTCAAGTGACAATCTCAGGAACTATAAATACCAGTTTCTAGATGTCACCTTATAGATTACATAATAATTGCTTTTTTATGCTTTGCAGTTACTGTTCCCAGCATAGCAGAAAAAGGTCAGTATATGTGTAATAAGAAAAATAGAAAGTTTTGGGCAAGTATTGTGTGCATGGCTACCTATAATAATATAAACAAAAATAAAATACAGTGCAACAAGGAACCCACTTATTATGATATGGGATATTTTGCTTATTTTTAGCTCACCGGGTCCAAAGGACCCAGGTGAGGTTATATAATTATGCCACACCGTGGTGTTCCTTGTCCGTAGTCAACAATCGGGGTTCTCCCCATGCAATTTTAGCTGATACGGAGCCATATCAGCTTCAGGTAGAAATCCACCCTGCCCTATCAGCTTAACTGGCCGTATCACCTTACAGGTGTCCGGCAAGCGTGTTCACTTAAGACTAAATCAATTACCACCGGGTTATCTTAGCGTGACTAATTTGAGGAAATAACTGCAAGACTTGAAAAACTAACACTTGATACAGCTTTTATGAATTAATATACTCTAATGTGATTGCATTTGACAACGCTGAAACAGCATGTGTATTTAGTCTCGTTCAACCAGACGCTTGATCACTTGTAGTTCAAGAGTCTGGTCAAACACAGTACTTTAAAATTTCCATCACCAGATGGCAGTGTTTAACTTTCGTTTCAGGACATTATGTCAATGCCATTAAACATTTCATTGAATAATGATATTAATGAAAAAAAATACCTATACATGTATTCCTGAAGTACCTGTGTATTCACTTTTATCGAGAACAATGTAAGAAAACGTGTCAAATCTCCAGAATAATACCATATATTTCCATTGAATAAATCATATCTAAGCACAAAGCCAACAAGGCTGACGAATGTTTGAAAAAAAGCATGCAAAGCAAGTGAGATTTTACCTGTACACCATTCAAAACACCTTCAAGTTCTCACTCCGGTAATCTGGCTCGACTTGTATCAATAGCCTTGTTAGCTTCATGAACTATTGTAAAATAGCCAATCAAAGCACATGAAATCATTCTTTTTGAAGCATTTTCTTACATTGTTCTTGTTAATAGTGAAAACATGGATACTTCAAAAATGCATATACAGGTAATTTTTTAATGAATTAAAATATTTAATGCAATTTTGGGCCACTCGAATTCTGACTTCAAAAGTTAAAAAGGGTGTGTCAACCTTTGACCAATGAAAAAGTTTACCAGAATCTCAGTATGCCTCGTTATGATGTCACAAAACGAAAGCACTGGGTTTGACCAGACTCTCTATTCGGCGTAGCTTGCGCAGGCAACAAGAGTCTGGTTGAACGAGACTACATGTGTATTCAGTGAGCAATGGTCACCATCTTAGATTGTGTAAAGTACAAAACGGAATGAAAATCTAGATTTGTTATTTTCATCGGAAGAAGGGCCCAAATAAAAAATTTACTGACAACAGTATTTAATACAGTTTTAGAAAAAAAAATAACACTGTAAAATTTATTTAAACATTTTCTCTTACCATAATAGTAAATGTGAGATGGAATTTTTCATGGATTTTCCCTCCTGTATGTAACAATAAAAACTTTTAAATATTTCTTCTTTAAATAATTTTAAATGAGGAAAAAATGAAGGATACAAATGTAAAATAAAAAAAGCATATGTCATAAATTATTCAATGTATAAACCCATACACCTGTCAATACATTTTAGTCACCCCTGGGGGAACCCCAGTGGGAGAATTGCTGAAATCACAATTGTTTGGTGTTCTTCATGTCTCGCAAATTCGGCTGTTGGCGGTTTGAGTGACTGCCTTTCAGCGTACACACTCTGCCGATAATGATGACCGATTCATTCAGATTTTTTACAGACGATCAGAAAACTGCTTGGAAGAGTGTATTTCATAACAAACAAATAAAAGATTTATCTGTATATAAGATGGAATCTTTTCTGAAACTTTTTGCCGTGAAAAAAACGAGGTGTCCGTCAACACTAACATTATATTTGCGACATGCTTTCTTATTAACTCCATGTGTCGGCATGGTTACCTGAACAGAGTGTATGTATTTACATGTACACCTATAGCTAGTCATTGTTTACCATTGCCGTAGCACACCCCAAAACCTATAACAGCAAGGTTATCACACCCCTTTTGGACATTTTTCGTTTTTCAATATTTCAAAAGAAAAATAGATTTCCATTAGATAGTAGCTTTTATTAGTAAGTATGTAAAAAACAGAATAAAACATGCCTTTTTCAATATCACACCCAGTATCAACCCTCAACCAATATCGCCCCTCGAACCTCGGGCTGATATTGCAGTCTTGGTTTGATACTGGGTGAGATATGGAAAAAGGCATGTATTATTCTCTATATATTGCTATCATACTGGCACATTACATCAAGCATATGTACTTCTACTGAAATCTACACATGTACTTGGTTGCAGTTGTTTACCTGATTCTCTACCATCCCCTACTGGTCCTGTTTATGTGGTCGTATGGACGGACTATAATGGCTGCTCCAGGAAAAGTGCCACGTCAGGTAATCAACTACCATACTATAGTGTACCATCTCCATTGGGGAAAGAGTCTGAGGAGTTTTGACAATATTGAATCCAATTGTGTTGGTAGGCATGTGTTCGACTCCTAGTAGCTTTCAATTTGGGCAATTTGACATACCACTAAAATAAGTATATAGATGTTGTTAAATCTTTGGACTGTCCTTGGTGGAAAAAATGAGATTATCTCACTTCTATGCAACTACTTTTGATCTTTTATTTGTTATAATACCTCAATAACTATATATGTAACTTATGGTTGATTTTGGCTCGGTAAAGATATAATGCAGGCAGATGAAAAGTGCTCGTGTTTGTTGTATCAGTGGTGCCAGTTTATATTATACTCTCAGAAGAGATGAAAAGTGCTCGTGTTTGTTGTGTCAGTGGTGCCAGTTTATATTATACTCTCTGAAGAGCAGATATTGGTTCATTATCAGTGATATGGACTGATTATGATTTCTATTAAAAACTAAACAACAAATCATTTTAAAATAAGAACTTCAGATTATAAAAAAATGTATCTATAATCCACTTAAGCAAATTATTTGAATTCTTTTGTTGAAGTTGATATTTATGATATTAAAAATACCTCTTTATTGATTAGTTTTGACATGTTTGTTAATTTTTAACTTTTCCTGGATTAAAGAATACTCAGTTTGACCAGATGAATTTCATTGTTGCAGTTTTACTTAAATAAACAAGATTCGGATCGTCTGACGAGAGAAACAAATGAAGAGGTACAGAAAGCAATATTAATGACTGCTGCAAAGGATTTACCAATAGTGAACAGAACATCATCAGGATGTAAGTGATTCTCAGTATATCATAATCTGGTTATTAAGGATGTAAGTAAATCTAAGTTTATAATAACCTGGTTATTAAAGGGACATCACGTGAAGAGCCATATTTTTTTTAATGAATGTATGTAATGTATGCACTTCCACTTATGTTACCTCGCTATCCCCATATTCATAGTTCGTTCCAAATGTCCAGTTTGACCACTTGAATTGTTCAGGAAAGCCCTGCTAAAAATAGCGTCGATAATGTCACCTGACTAGGCAGTAAACACAAGTGGTGTGAGCGAGATGAAACGGTTTCATTTCGCTCACACCACTTGTGTTTACTGCCTAGTCAGGTGGGAAGTCATCAGTGTTTTGTAAAAGATGATCTACATCAAAATATCAGTAAAAGTGGTGGAATGGAGTTAATACCTGTTATTGTAATATTATATATATATGATTGTTGTGTTTCTTTTAAACAGCGGGGCGCGGGGGATAATGTCACGCTTTGCGTTATCTTGTTTCAATAATCACTCATCAAGACTGCAGTTTTCTCTAATTGCCAAGATGATAAATAAAAACACAAATAATTGTGTCTTTGTGATTAATCAGGCTTTATTTCAAGATATATCTTCATCTTTTTTTTTGCAGTGCCACGATACTGTGAAAAGTGTAAATGTATTAAACCAGACAGATGTCACCACTGTTCTGTGTGTGGGTTGTAAGTATGTTTACAGTTGTCTCCCTTTGGTATTGGAATGAAATGAAGGAGAAATTCTAATTATGATTAGTTCTACTACACAAGAGTTCAAGTTTAGTTACTATGGGAAAAAAAGAAAATGAAAGCTTTTTAGCTTGTATTGTCAGCTTCAAATATAGAAATGCTATTTTTGTTCATAAACAATGTCATGTTTTTTCTGATTGCCTATTTTGTTTTTACATTTCAGATGTGTATTAAAAATGGACCACCACTGTCCATGGTGAGTGCTATAAAATGACTATTTATTCAACTCTTTGACTTACTTCTAATTGATTTGTCAGTGATTATATATTTATCACGATTCACAAACTCTTGACATCCTAATCATCTTTCCAACTCATTCCACTATTAAAAAACTAAGAAACTCAAATTTAGATCAATTTTGTATTATATTTTTTATAAACAACTGTTTTCACAAAGTTTTCTAAATGTCATTTTGTGATTGCATTTTTTGAATTCACCAATACTATCTGTTACTGAGTGGCATCGACCATTATGATTTAAAGAACCTGTTAGATGAAAATATGAAAACAAAACATATTGCATAAAATATCTAAAACGTACAAAAATCAAAAAATAAAATGAAGACACACAGACCTTGAATAAGTATATAAAAATGTAGATGGTAATACAGTATAACCTTGATATACTGCCATGTGTGCCTTCCGTTCAAAGACATTTTGGCAGTAAAACGAGTTTGGTGGTACAACGAGTTGTCCCTGTTAAATGGCAGGTGGATAATTATTGCTTGTTTGTTTTGGTGCACTTATCCAACATCTAACAATGAGAGCTCAAACATACATTGATTATTATGCATTTTTAGTTCCCCACAGGGACTGGGGGGATTATAGTTTTACTTCGTGTCTGTCCGTCCTTCCTTCCGTCCTTCCAATATTTTGTCCAGGCTCTATCTCCTACACTACTTGTCACTGGAACTTCATACTTGGGGCAGTGTTCCCCCCAGGCTGTTGTACCGTTACGCCTGAATTTTGAGCTGCTACGCATCACCATTTGACCATAACGCATGCATTTGACCGTTACATATCAACTGACAAGTTCTCACAAATCATGATAGGCTTAACCTCTTCTCCCCATTCCAATTAGACTCCCCCTCATTAGACTAGCTTTCTATTGTGCTCTACGATCGACACCCTGATCAACGAGCTCTGCCCTGCGGGTAGATTTACCCGTGGGGATGTGAACTACGTTTAGGTGTGAAACGTGAACAATAGACCACAATTACCAGCGTGTAATTCGTCTAATTATAATTAATGATGTCTGTTAATTATCTAGGCTTCAATCTACATTTTGATTTTCATAGGACAACCAAAATAAGAAATACAAACAGAAGTTCAGACGCCAAACGTCGGCTGACCTACCTTTGCTGTATTGTTTTTGCCAATTGTTGTAATTGTTTTTAGAAAAATAATTATTTCGGAAATATTCAATTAGATCTGGTATTACGAACAGTGTATTGTATGCATGATACACAATTCGCGAGTACCGAGACAAGAATGTCAGTTTTATGTGCCCATATTAAGATTTACAGTTTTACAGAAGTAATGTCTGCAAAGCGATGTAACTGCGAATATTTGCATTTATTTGCTACAAATGTAAGCATTTCTGTACGTCAGGCTCTGTTGTCACGTGTAAATGTTTGAAAAAATTTACTACACTGTTTCAATACCCTCTTTCTCTGCCGTACAATCTAGGGGCAGCTGAAGTAATTATGCTAAGGTGTGTCAAATTTTCAGAGTCCATCTCATCAGGGTGTTTTTTTTCCCGAAGCATTAACAATGTCATAGTCTGTAAATACCTGAGTAGGTTGCCAGCATCTTGCCAATTCCATAAACTGTCTCATATAGTCAAACGTAAATTTGGATCAATATCAAGTTCATCTTTGACTTGTTGTAAAACGGAGATTGTAGAAATCCGCATCCGCATCATTATTTGTGGTAGGCAGATGTTATGTGTCACAGTCACGTGGCAAAACAATACGGTACTGACATGATGAACACATCCATGGTGTCCTGTTGTTGTCATCAATAGTTAATTTGAGTTATTGGTCAAAACATCATCAACAGTCCTACGCTTAATTTGGAAATGATGGCAATATCTTCATAACCTAACACCTCTGTGGAGAAGCCATGTTATGAACGAGTGCATAAATAACAATCAGAGGTAATATCTTGGTGAATTGAATTCAAGTGTAAATTAATCAGACACACATACTACATCTTAATCCGACCCCCATGGCTCATTCAGCTGTGAAATCAACGACACAAGTAAGTTTCTTTGATGGAGCGTTGTGGTGGTGTTTGGCACCCACAAAGGGATATTTGCACGATTGTTCTCAAAACATTGTGGCATATTTCAGTACCCGAGTTTGGCAGTACAACAGGTGCATTTAAAATTAAGTGTGGTAAAAATCCGAAAAAACTGATGGCGGTATGCAAATTTGTGTGTACAACGGGTGGTTGATTGATAGGTTTTACGTCCGCTTCACTACCGAGTAGTTATAGGTAATACCAATTGGTGGCGATACATCAAGGTTATATACTGTATACAAAATACATTGTATCAAATAAAGAATTCATTCATTATACATGCCAGTTTGAGGATGGGGGAGGGCAAAAACAGTTCATTTGAAAGAAGTGCTTGAAATTTTGACATCTGTGTAATAAGGTGTATACTAGTTGTGAAATATCATAAATGATAATTAAAATATCTACTATCATACTATGTGAACAATAAAATCATCAACAAAGCCACATTGTTTAACAGGCTTAATTACTAACAGTGAATTTATTGAATTTTAGTTTTGATACTTTCCTGTCCTTTGATATCGGATATGATATTTGCAGATGACAACTACATAAGTGTGTTTATAATTGTGGGTAAAAAAGTACAACATTATAATAGTGGTAGCTGTAGTTGGGTTAAGTCACCTACAATGATGGGGAAATTAAAATAATATAAACCATTAATGTATTTAATCCTAGAAGATGGTATCCCATGTACTCAATTTTGTTTGGATGATGGAACAAAATATGAAATAAATGTTTTTTCGTTTTTTTCAGGGTGAACAATTGTGTTGGTTTCACAAATTACAAGTTTTTTGTACAGTTTTTGGGTTATGCCCTTATATACTGTTTATATGTAGCTGCAACCTCTGTGAAATATTTCATATCGTTTTGGTCGGTAAGTACATATTGCATTTTATTTATTATCCAGTTTTCTAGATTTTTTGCAATCCTGACGATAAATACAAAGTAATGTTATAGAATATTCACTAAGATTTAAGTCTGTTATTATGCTATAAATATTTAATTAATTTGAAATTTTTGACAAGACTTTTTGAGCTCACCTGATCCGAAGGACCAAGGTGAGCTTATGCCATACCGTGGCATCCGTGTATTGTCTGTCCGTCAACAATTTCTTCTTACAACTTCTTCTTCATACTTGCTGATTAGAATTTGACCAAATTTAATGTCATTGCTTTTATTTTAGTAACTTCTCTGAAACTAAGAGTTGTAGATCAACAATATTTGGTCGGAATCATTCTCGGGTAATGGGGATTCAAAAACTGTACAAATAGAGGGGCTAACCCTCTTGGGGGGGGGNTTGCTTTATGGCAAAGAGTCAGCGACTTCTCTGAAACTAAGAGACAGATTTCAACCATATTTGGCTGGAAGAATCCTTAGTTGGTTGGCGTTTAAAATTGTACAAATGGAGGAGCTAACCCCCCCTGGGGGATGAGGGGCACGGCCTAAAGGACGTAATCTGTCCCTACTGCTACAAGAGACTCTTCTCTGAACCTTAAAGTGATAGATATCAACCAAAACATTTGACTGGAAGCATATGCATTCTCATGTGATGGGGCTTCCAAGGGATAAATATTAATTAAATTTGGTTGCATGCATAAATATCAGTTGGTGGGACCTCAAATTTTGACGGGCAGGGCCAAAGTTGTTGTTTTTTTATTTGGAAATCCATAACCATATTTACAATTGCTATGTGTAAAGAGAAAAAAACATATTCTACCAGAATGACATCCTGGGTCTTGCCCCAACTATGGTGACTAAGTTGCTTGGTTATAGCTTTTAAATGGTTGAGGTCCCCTTCCCATAACCATGTACATGTATATAATTGTTAGGCACAAATACAATAATGTTCTTGAAATTGACCCTGGTTTCTGGCCATGCACACCCCTAGGGACTTGTTCCTTGGTCATATGATAACATGGAAAGCTTTAAGGTCTCGGCCCTATTATAAAATAAATATATATAAGTGTACAATTGCTGAGCATGAATACACATGCTAGCAGGATTTGCCCAGGGAATTGACCCTATCCCTAAGACCTTATTTGCCGTACTACTTTCATTGAAAACTTTTTGCATTTGCTTAAATATCCAGGTGAGCGATACAATCCCTCTGGGCCTCTTGTTTTTATCAAACTGGAGAGAGAGAAAAACATATTGATGTTCTTATAATTAAAACGATCGTCTTTCACCTTTAGAGGACTTTGAGAAAATTCATTTTGAAATCTTGTTGGAATGCATATAGCAAATTAATTATCGATAATACTACATAATAATTACGTTTTTTTAGCCCATCCTCAACAGATGGTTGGTTATTCAAGTCGCATGTCATCGGTGGTCATTCGTTTAGTTGTCCGTCCGTCCGTCGTCTGTCCTTAAACAATTTGTGTTAACGCTATTTCTCAGAAAGTACTCTCAAATTTGATATGAAGGTTCCCCTTGATCTCTAGTTGTGCATGGTCGCTTTTTGGACTGATACCTGAAATGTTGATTGCTCTGGGTTTTTTTACAGGGTCATGGTAATAGAGATATGGGGAAATTCCATGTGCTGTTCCTTTTCTTTGTGTCCATCATGTTTGGAATCAGTCTGATCTCCCTATTTGGATACCACTGTTACCTCACAGCCAGTAACAGATCTACTTTGGGTATGTATCTACAAACTCGCTTTGGATACCAGTCTGGAGGGCATGCAAATCTATCAGAGCCTGACTGACTTATTTTCTTGTCTATCCATAGATTTTGGTCAGAAAATTACTCGGATAAAGTCTTAAATCCTAATCTTGACCAAAAAAAGCTAAAAATATTTCATGAAATTTACTAATTTTTACCCACTTATTTGAAAAAGGGGGAATGAGGGGTTTGTAGTTAATCTGGCATCAGTGTCAATATCAATATACACAAGTCTCTGGGTAACATTGGTTAAAGTTTCAGGGATGTTTTCGTACTTTTTACACAAGTCTCTTGGTTACATTGGTTAAAGTTTCAGGGATGTTTTCGTACTTTTACACAAGTCTCTGGGTTAAATATTTTGAGCAAGTGATGAAACGTACTGAAAGTAATAGCAATCACTCACTGATAGTACTTTGCTAAAGGTTCCTGAATGATGTTGATCTAACCTTTTCTGTACAGAAGGCAAAAACATGTATACAGTACAGTATATTTTTTTTTCATTTTTTTCCCACTTTTTTTACTTACCAACTCTTTTCATCATTCTTCGAATAGTGAGCTATGCTGTTCTCCACTAGACCTTGTTTTACCTATATATAACTACATTAGTTTTGATCAACATATATACTGGTAAACCAAGTCATTGATAACATGTATAATCTTATTTTGTTTCAGAGGCGTTTAGATCACCTATTTTTCAGAGTGGTCCAGATAAAAATGGCTTCAGTATGGGAAAATATGGTAACTTTGTTGAAGTCTTTGGGGAATCGAAGAAGGAATGGTTTTTACCTATATTTTCAACGTAAGTAAACTTGTCTGGTTTGCTAGACTTTGCACATGTTTCTATCAGAATTTATGAATAACTAACGTTATTCAGGCAACAGGTGCTTCATATTAACAGTAATGATAGCTGCTAGATGAAAGTCGTTCTATTTATGAAATATTGTCAGAGGTGAACACCTTAAAAAACAACACAAAACAATGAAGTTGTCAATTTTGCAGAGACCTGAGTTATTTTATAGGATCCCTTTAGATTTTACCATGCAATTAGTAAAATAGCAGTGAGATTTATTAAGTTATGTACAGAAAAGCCAATTTGATATGATTAGCAGTACCTACTACCCAACTCAGTAAGCTGCCAGGGAAATGTGTTGTAACTGTCAAACCTAGGCTTGCTTTATGCCTATGCTTATGATAAGTATTTCTGTTTCTTCTTAATGTAATGCCCATTTCCATGTATAGACAATATCAAATGAAGATGGATTTTCATAAAGTTTAAAAACATTTAATTCAGTTTCTGGATTTATTAGGTTACCTGAGACAAAGTCTCAAGTGACCTTTTGCGACCTTGTCCGCTGGCGTCCGTCGTGCGTCCGTAAACAATTTACATTTTCGACTTCTTCTCCAAAACCCCTGAACCAATTTCAATGAAATTTTGCAGAAACCTTCCATGGCCAAAGGTCAACAAAATGTGTGGCCGATTTGGTCCCCAGCCCCCAGGGGCCTGAGGCGCGGGGCCAAAAAGGGTCAAATTGACTAAAATTTCAAAAATCTTCTTCTCAAGACCCAGATATGGTAAAATCAAATACTCCTCATAGATGGAAGGGTCTTTAAATGTGCTCTACCAAAATTGTGAATTTTATGACCCTTGGGTCTCATGTTTCCCCCTGGGGAGGGGGTAAACTTTACTATAGTTTATATATTTGGAAATCACATTTTGGACCAACATTTGTTTAATTTTCATTGGACGTAATTCAATTTCGGTTTGCATTATCAGTATTGGGTAGCAGTTTGATGGTATGCACATATGACCCCTGACTGACCCCCTGGGGCTGATGGGTGGTGCCAAAAAGGGTTGAATTGACTGAAATTTCAAAAATCTTCTTCTCGAGACCTAGATATGGTAGAATCAAATACTCTTCATAGATGGAAGGGTCTTAAGGTGCTTTACCAAAATTGTGAATTTCATGACCCTTGGGTCTCACGTTTCCCCCTGGGGAGGGGGTAAACTTTACTATAGTTTATAAAGGGAAATCACATTTTGGACAAACATTTGTTTAATTTCCATTGGAAGTAATTCAATTTGGTTTAGCATTATCAGTATTGGATAGCAGTTTGATGGTATGCACATATGAGCCCTGACTGATCCCAAAATTCATTATGGTTTATAATGGCAAATGATACTTTAAATATCACATGTTAATAACTTGATTTGATTTATAACCCTGAGTTGACAGTTTGATACTTTGAAAATTGAGCCAGCCCTACCCCCAAGGGCTGTAGGGTGGGGCCCAAAGGAGTCAGTCTGCTAAAATTTCTTCATTTTCCTTGTTTAGTATCAGAGCTGCTAGTTTCAAATACTTTTTAGTCTTAAATCTGTATGCTATATATTGAATAAGGTGGTTTTTAGGTCATCTGAGCTTTAGCTCAAGTTCTGCTGGGGTGATTGAACTGAAAGTTGGTAGGAATGATTGACTCATGGTCCTGACAAAGTGTTGTTATTTTTCGGGTCGATCAGAAATCCAATATGGCGCCACAGCTGCCATTTTGAAAAACTATTCCAAACTTAAAGTCAAGTTCTACTTGGCCGATTGAACTAAAACTTTGTAGGAATGATCGAATCATTGTCCTGACAAAGTGTTGTTATTTTTTGGGTCGATCAGAAATACAATTTGGCTGCCATGGCCGCTATTTTGTAAATACCTATTTCAAACTTAAAAACAATATATTTGTACAGAGAGTTGATCTTGTTTTTAACACGAACAGAAATATTATTCAAAGTGACAAAAAAACAAAACAAGTTCTAATAGGCCGATCTAACTGAAAATTCGCTAGGAATGATCAGCTCATGGTCCTGACAAAGTTAATTTAACGTTATACTTAACTATTAATTACTCAAATTGGTACATATTTCAACAACAAAAATAAAAACTGTAGGACTCAGGTGACCGTTAAGGCCCATATGGGCCTCTTGTATTGTTTTTTTGTCACTTTGAATAATATTTCTGTTCGTGTTAAAAACAAAATCAACTCTCTGTATAAATATATCAGGTGACCGTTAAGGCCCATGGGCCTCTTGTTTTATTCATGCTTATTCCTAAATAAGAAATAAAAATACAATTTGAACCATTTAACTGCATCATTCGAAATTCAATTTTGAAATAATTGGCCCAGTAGTCAATGATAAAGTAGCTTTTAAACATTGTGTTTATACTTTTTATCAGATCATTACTTCTGACTGTGTCAGTCATTGTCATACTTGCCAACTCTCACGATTTTGGAGGGAGACTTTCGATTTGGGACCCTAAAATTGAGCATTTTCAACCAGTTAATTTGCTAAACTATTCCTATATTCTAACATCTATTGATTTCATCTGAAAGAATAGCAAAAGATGCCATTTAAAAGTGTTGCTTTTCCCTACGGTGTAGATACACACATTTTATTTATGCTTTTTATTCTGAGCATGCGTAATCTCTCCCCCATGGATATTTCAAAAAGTTGGCAAGAATGTGAATATGTGTTGCGGATATATTAACATTTTAACTTCAATATGATGTTGTTATGAGTGGTCTTTCCCTAAGATGAGTATCAAATTTAAAAAAGGTGATGAGAAGTCTTTTTTTGAATATAATAATACATAATTTATGGATATCACAATATTTTAGTTGTGAATACATGATCACATAAGGACTTTTGTATTGTTATATATATTGCTGTTCAATAATTTCTGATTGAAAGTGCAAATACATAATATGGCACAGAACAAATATAAAACTCTGCATAATGAACATGTTTGTCACAGTCCAAAGATGATTTAGATATAGCACTGCATACTGATATCTGATTATTGTTTCTGAAAAGTTCAAAATTAAAATTCTTTGTGTAATGTCAAACCCTAAAAGGAATATAATCTGTAATTTCTTCTACTTTGCTTTAAATAAGCTACCGGTACCATATGTATTGGAAAATGTTTTTGACTTCCACAGGTATTTATTTATTACAGTAAATATTCAGAAGAAAGCAATTTATCTTGATACAATACAACGGCCCAATATCTTTCGTGATTTGCTTTTTAGTCATGATACATGGCCCTAATAGAAATATGCAAGAAATTATCAAAAAATGTGAATATCATATAAAATATGGATGTGTTTAACTCATTCACCCCTGAAGACACATTTGAACTCTTCCAATTAAAAGGTTGGAATAGTTTATTATGAACTTTCAGTGGTGAATGAGTTAAGTATGCAATGCATTAAATAAACATAACAAAAGACTTCTGTTTATTTTGTTTTTTGGTTACCATGAATAACAGTCAAAGAGACGGGGTGTCCTTTCCTACTCGCACGAAGCAAGCTAATACCTACCAAACAATGGGTAAAACTCCAAGGTTAGCTCTGTGTTCACCTTCATATAATAGCATTGTGCCATATATATTTGCATTATTATAGCTTTCTTGTCTCTGACCCAGACACATCCTAGATGCTCCAGGGGTCTCTTTCGCTCTCGAGATCTGCTACCCTGGAATATGTCTATGAATGCGCCACCTTCTGGGTGATATGAGAAGACTAGTTTAATACTTTGATGTACATCAAAAGATTGACTGGCTTTGAAGTCTGGTGTCACTTCTCTCTAATCTTCAAAAGAAAAGTATCAGCCAAGTGTTTGGTCAGGGTTTTTCACCTGACACCGATCAAATAGCTAGCCGTGTGCCCTCAATTTTACTATGAAATATTCCAGGGGTGCCGAGAGAGAAAGTGAGTAACCCCTGGCGTATCCACGATGACTAAGACTAACATTTTGCATCTGCAAATCAATTGAACGAAAGTTAGATATTGTACTGTGTCTCTTTAACCTACATGTATACACTTTTTTTTCTGTTGTTGAGATCTAAGAGAGTTTGTGGGTCACATCCACTTGAGTTTTTCACTGAATGCTTGTTCAAAAATAAAGTCCAATTATTTGTCTTTGGAGGTTGAATAAATGTCACCACCTTCGTTTATGCTCCCACCTCTTGGCCTATTAGATCTTGACAAGTGAAAACAGTTGTGTAGCATAGTGGAGTATGATATCAGGTTTTGCGTAATATATAGTCAGCCATTATTGTATAACACTAACTCATCCCTCATCTCAATTCATGCCCGTATCATTCACTTCAGTACTATATAAACTATATAGGATTAACACTCTTGTGCTGTCGGACAATAAGGAAGCTGATCATGGATGCATGGACTGGATCTGGTTTTAGAATTTGCACCAAAACGTTTTAATCTCTAAGGTACAGTAGTAATACTTCATGCCTAAAAATACATATCAACTAAAAAATGGTAAAATCTAATATATGATTTATTTTGTCAGATAGTTAATTGTCCATTTTTAGCTCACCTGGCCCTAATTAAGGCGTCCTTCGTCCAGCTTCCGACGTCCGGCTGTCAACTTTTTCTTTTGATGACTTCTTCTGAAGAACTGTAGGACCTAGCTAGGGTCATGATATTTGGCCAGTTGGTACCTGGAATGGAGTGCTTTAACTCATTCACCCCTGAAATTTCATAATGAACTATTCCAACCATTGAATTCAAATGTGTCATCAGGGGTGAATGAGTTAAAGTTTCCTTATTAAAATGACCTTGACCTACTTTCAAGGTCACAGCGGTTAAATATGTTAAAAATTTCAAACAACAATATCCTAAGAACCATTTGAACTAGAGTCATGATACTGGGGTATGTTTTGTAGACCAGCAGTTTGAATATTTTTCTCAGTTACAGTTATGAGATCAAAGGTCAACTTTAAATGCTAGTCGGGGGTCAAATGTCAACTTTGGTTAAAAGCTTTAACAATCTTTTTCTCAAGTTCCATTAGGCCCAGGGTCATGATATTTGGCCAGTACGTACCTGGGATAAGTGCTATTATGTTTCCTCATTAAAATGACCTTGACCTACTTTCAAGGTCACTGGGGTCAAATTTGTTAAAAAAACTTCAAACAACAATATCCTGATAACCATTTGGACTAGAGTCATGATCTAGTCGGGGGTCAAATGTCAACTTTGGTTAAAAGCTTTAACAATCTTTTTCTCAAGTTCCATTAGGCCCAGGGTCATGATATTTGGCCAGTACGTACCTGGGATAAGTGCTATTATGTTTCCTCATTAAAATGACCTTGACCTACTTTCAAGGTCACTGGGGTCAAATTTATTAAAAAAACTTCAAACAACAATATCCTGAGAACCATTTGGACTAGAGTCATGATACTTGGGTATGTTATGTAAACCAGCAGTGCAAATCTTTTTCTCTAAACAGTAATGAGGTGAAAGATCAACTTTAAGTGCAAGTTGGGGTCAAAGGTCAACATGGGTCAAAGGCTTTAACAATCTTCTTCTCAAATTCCATAAGGCTCATGGTCATGATATTTGGCCAGTAGGTACCTGGGATGAAGTGCTATAAACTCTCCTCATTAAAATTTCATCAAGGTCACAGGGGTCAAATATGTTAAAAACTTCAAACTACAATATCCTAAGAACCATTTGGACTAGAGTCATGATACTTGGGTATGTTATGTAGATCAGCTGTTTGAATTGTTTTCTTATTAAAGTAATGAGGTCAAAGGTCAACTTTAAGTGCAAGTCGGGAGTCAAAGGTCAATATGGGTTAAAAGCTTTAAAATTAAAATTTCAAGTTTCAAACAACAATATCTTCAGAACCGTTTAAGAGATGTTAGAATGTCTTGTGTTCTAGTTACCATATTTGGTCTTAAGTTACCTATATGTCAGTTGCATGTAACAAAAGAAACAGGTGAGCGATACAGGTCCAATTGACCTCTTGTTTAGCATTTCTAATGGGATTTTTCACACCCTTTCCTTGACATTATGTAGCACTTCACACAGGAATGCAATGCATGGATACTGGATACAGGCTGCTTTTATTTATCTTATCACATTCAAAAGGATTTGACCAATTGGATAAGATTTGTTTGTTTTTGAAGTACATGTAGGGACAGACAAAGTTATCTGATATTATAATCTAGTTAGCATTGACAAAGAACTTCAAAGCCTGCATAAATCCAAGAAAAAGGTAATATTTTTAACCTTATGTTTTTCGTAAGAGGGGACTTAACTCTAGATTTACCAGCACAAAGCTTTAGGAATACAGAGGGTGGTGGGGATTATGAAAACATTGGAGAATCAACATTCAATCTTGTAATAAAGTTTAAGGTTTTGTTTTTATATAATATCATTTGTACATGTCATGTATTTACAACAGTTGTTAGCAGTTACCAAAGCATTGATTGAACATTCTTACTTAAGCTTTTACATGCATGTTTGCAATTTTGTATTTTCTTTTCTCATTACATTAAAAGTTTGTTTTTGTTTGTGTAATAAAGTTAACATGATTGGTGTACATGTATTTGTCAAATTAAAACATCTTCATTTGGGTTTATAATTCAAATAAAATGAAAATATTTGTAATCTTATACTAGATTACAAAATTATTAGTACCAGGTTATTTTACGTTTTTAATGGGTTTTTTTTTTTAAGTTAAAGAAATGACTTTTCAAGATATTGATATGATAATTTTTAATATTTTTGACACTCTGCATGTTTTGTTGCAATTTGTTTTATTACATGGTATTTTTGACTTGATTCAATTATGGTAGGAGACATAGTATAATATGAACTGTGCTAACTTAGAACTACGGAAATGCACAAATTCAGAAATGATACGTGGTGATTTCAGTGCAAACAAATTGTAGTTGCTATTAGTATACCCTATTCTAACAAAAATATTAGAAAAATTCGAGGTGTTGGTTGATTTCTCAGTAGTAGTATTATCATGTTAAATTTGTGTGTTATACCCAGACACGTTGTTACCCTTTATGTCAACAATAGATCTCACACATTGTTCTGGGTAGATCTTTACTGTTGACATTAAAGAGGAACTTTGACCCCGATCTATATACAAAATGTATACTGCACCTGAAGGGAAAGCTAAATTTGCTTTAAAACACATCTATTCCTAAACACCAGAGAGGATTTCAACCAAATTTAGTCTGAAGCATCACTAGGGGAGGGCAATCATTTCTTAATTAAATGAGGTTGGTTCGACCCCTGAGGCCAGGGGTCGGGGCCCTGAAGGGGAACTTAGCTAAATTTGCTTTAATACACATCTACTCCTAAACACCAGAGAGGATTTCAACCAAATTTGGTCTGAAGCATCACTAGGGGAGGGCAATCATTTCTTAATTAAATGAGGTTGGTTTGACCCCTGACTGGCCAGGGGGGCAGGGCCCTGAAGGGGAACTTAGCTAAATTTGCTTTAAAACACATCTTCTCCTAAACACCAGAGAGGATTTCAACCAAATTTAGACTGAAGCATCAGTAGGGACGGGCAATCATTTCTAAAATAAATGAGGTTTGTTCGACCCCAGAGGCCAGGGTGGCGGGGCCCTGAAGGGAAACTTAGCTAAATATGTTTTAAAACACCTCTCCTGCTTAACTTAAGCCAGAGAGGATTTCAACCAAATTCAGTCTGTCAAGCATTACTAGGAGAGGGGAATCATTTCTTTAATAAATGAGGTTTGTTCGACCCCTGACGAAGATTTGTTATTTTTCGGGTCGATCAGAAATATAATTTGGCTGCCATGGCCGCTATTTTGAAATACCCATTTCAAACTTAGTCAAGTTCTGCTGGGCAGATTGAACTGAAAATCGGTCTAGGAATGATCAGCTCACGGTCCTGACAAACTTAAGTTAACGTTATACTTAACAATTTTTTACTCAAATTGGTACATATTTCAACAACAAAAATAAATACTGTAAGACCGTTAAGGCCCATTGGCCTCTTGTTATTCAGTGCAACAATGTTTTTTATTTACCAGGTAGCTTCATATCCTATGCTTTCAACCTTGCTTTTTCTCTTTATTTATATCAGTAGTTTTTTCAGTTTGATGGATAGAATGCAAAAATATTGGTGCTTTGGTACCTGGTGTCTGAAAAGAATTACTTGTTTTCAAGTTATTATTCTTATCAAATGATTAACCTACAGAGCTAACCTGATCTTTCACTATTTTTTTCCTGGGTGTGGGAATGGAAGGGACACTCTTCTCTAAAAAGTATTCAAGGGCTACTAGCATTTTCATTTCATTTAATTTGAAAGTTTAAGTGTATTTTTTACAAAATAACATAAAGTTTGTAACAGATTGAAATGTGCCAGATATTAAATAGGTGCATTTAACCAAGGAGAAAGAAATGGTCAGAAACTGAGGCCATCAAGAACACATCGATGACATCAGATTTATAAATTTGTATTTATATTTTTGCTTTTTTTGTGGAGAAAGCAATATTTTGATCAATATATGTTTTCTTGTACATTTTAATTTTGCAATAACTGTAATAAGTTATGATGACATTTTTGAAAACTTGTCCTTTAGGCTAATTGTATGCAAAAGCATTTGATTACCTGTTTTTACCAGTCTTGATTTAGAAAGACAAATTCACTGTAATTAAATCTATACAAAGAAACACAAATGCTTTGTTGATGAGGGAAAATTAAATGTCTTCATGTTTGGCTAGCAGGAAGGATTTTTAAAGATGATTCAATTTTTATAGCATATCAGTTAAATTCCTAGTTAAAAATCATTTAATAATTTCTTTACAGACTTTTGTTTACAGATGGACAAACCCAAATTATATCCCCCGTTTCGGTGAAAGAGGGGGATATAATTTGGGTTTGTCCATCTGTCAGTCTGTCAGTCTGTCTGTCACACTTCGTTTCCATGCAATAACTGCAACAAATGTTAACCGATTTTCTTCAAACTTGGTAACAGGGTTAAATGCCTTAGGGACTCTGCCAAGTTCAATGACCACTTTCAGCGGACTTTATTTGGCGGAGTTATGGATCCTTGAATAACGAAAAACGTCATTATCTGCCGTTTCTGTGCAATAACTGCAACAAATGTTAACCAATTTTCCTCAAACTTGATAACAGGGTTATATAATTAAATGCCTTAAAGGCTCGACCAAGTTCGATGACCACTTTCAACGGACTTTATTTGGCGGAGTTATGGCCCCTAGAATAACAAAAAACATTATTACCTGCCGTTTCCGTGCAATAACTGCAACAAATGTTAACTGATTTTCTTTAAACTTGGTACCTGGGTTAAATGTCTTAAGGGATCGACCAAGTTCACTGACCACTTTCAGCGGATTTTATTTAGCGGAGTTATGGCCCCTTCAATAACGAAAAACATAATTTTCTGCCGTTTCTGTTCATTAACTCTTGCAGATATTATCCGATTGTCTTCAAACTTAGTAACAGGGTTCAACGCATAAAGGGCTCGGCCAAGTTTGACAACCACTTAGGCATTTGGCAGAGTCATTATCTGCAGTTTCCACTTAATAACTCTAGCAAATATTAGATAAGGCTCACGGTTTTATCTTCAAGTTTCAAACTGTATATTATGTCTCGAACAGCACGCTACTCACATGTTTAAACCTTACCTCAATAATGTTTACTTACAATATGTCCTGAAAGCCTGGGATATAAATTCCACGAATTTGCTTGTTTATTTCAGTTTCAAAATATTTATAAATCCATTTATCAATGATTTTTACACAGTGTTTAAAGAACTGTTGAGATTTTTATTTAAACATTGAACTAGGTGGCATGTGCCTGATTCTTAACTTTTGAAAATTACTATATACTTAAATAGCTTAACTAGGCCTATGCATGTTTTGCATTGAACATTTTTACTGGTAAATTCATTGCGTACTTCTTGCATGAAATTTATTCCTTCGGTCTGTATGCATGGTGACTAGCATTTTATACTTCATCCGTATTTCATGATGAGGAAACACTTTCATTTACATTTTTAGGTCACCTGAGCTTTAGCTCAAGTGACCTATTGCTATCCGTTTTCGTCCGTCGTCGTCCGTCGTCCGTCGTCCGTTAACATTTTACATTTCAAACTTAAAGTCAAGTTCTGCTGGGCCGATTGAACTGAAAGTTGGTAGGAATGATCGCCTCATGGTCCTGACAAAGTGTTGTTATTTTTCGGGTCGATCAGAAATCCAATATGGCCGCCACGGCCGCCATTTTGAAAACCTATTTCAAACTTAAAGTCAAGTTCTGCTGGACCGATTGAACTGAAAGTTGGTAGGAATGATCGCCTCATGGTCCTGACAAAGTGTTGTTATTTTTCGGGTCGATCAGAAATCCAATATGGCCGCCACGGCCACCATTTTGAAAACCTATTTCAAACTTAAAGTCAAGTTCTGCTGGACCGATTGAACTGAAAGTTGGTAGGAATGATCGCCTCATGGTCCTGACAAAGTGTTGTTATTTTTTGGGTCGATCAGAAATCCAATATGGCCACCACGGCCGCCATTTTGAAAACCTATTTCAAACTTAAAGTCAAGTTCTGCTGGACCGATTGAACTTAAAGTTTGTAGGAATGATCGACTCATGGTCCTGACAAAGTGTTGTTATTTTTCAGGTCAATCATAAATCCAATATGGCCGCCACGGCCACCATTTTGAAAACATATTTCAAACTTAAAGTCAAGTTCTGCTAGGCCGATTGAACTGAAACTTTGTAGGAATGATTGACTCATGGTCCTGACAAAGTGTTGTTATTTTTCAGGTCGATCAGAAATCCAATATGGCCACCACAGCTGCCATTTTGGTAAACTATTTCAAACTTAAAGTAAAGATCTACTTGGCCGATTGAACTGAAACTTTGTAGGAATGATCGAATCATGGTCCTGACAAAGTGTTGTTATTTTTCGGGTCAATCAGAAATACAATTTGGCTGCCATGGCCGCTATTTTGCTACTAAGTTCTAATAGGCCGATCTCACTTAAAATTGGTCTAGGAATGATCAGCTCATGGTCCTGACAAAGTTAAGTTAACATTATACTATTTTTTACTCAAATTGGTACATATTTCAACAACAAAAATAAATACTATAGACTCAGGTGACCGTTAAGGCCCATGGGCCTCTTGTTTACTAAATTATAAGTATTTGCCTTAAACAATCGATCAATCTTTTTTAACTATTAAAGAAAAAACACTTCCTTGATGTTGATTGTCAAATCATTTCTTCTTGACTCCTCAATTAACCAAGTAAAAAACAATCTTCTCCAGAATATACATCCATAACTATATACATAATCATTAGTTAAATCAAATGGAAGTCACACATCGTTCCCACCAGCTGATCAAATTTTAGGAAACTTCTTCACGAAAGTTGTTGGTCAGCTTTTCACCAAATCTTGAAAGAGCCAAGCATATTACGTGAGCATTACCTTCCTTATTTACATGGACACTTTATAATAAACTAATGTTGATAACGGTGTAGAATATGTTACTCAATGTTTACTTAAACAGTCAATATTGTGGTGCATTGAAATTCATTATTGTTCAATTTGTTTACAGTGTAGGGGACGGTGTGAATTACCCTACCCGGACAGTTGACCTTGACAGTGATGGTCTGCTGGCAGAGAGACAGAGGTGGATGGAGGAGGGAGGAGAGTTAGGCACAGGTAGTTAAGCAGTGACAGAAAGATGCATTAGAGATAAAGGCCTGTTTTCCCCAATATGTTTAATTGTCAAAGAAATTTGTGCCGGATTATTCTATTTGGAAATATTGATCTACTGGTAATAGTAAAAAGAAAAGAAAAGAAGTTGTCTTGATATCATGTACTAAAGAAAGCTTACATGATTGTGAGAATGTAGAAAATGTATGTATTATTGTCGCCATTTACAAAAGTGTGGCTCATTATAGAAAGGTTAAAAGTCATTTACACCTGTCAGGTAATAGGGAGAGGTCACAGGTATATAATTGACACCTTATGTACAGGGTTATTAGCTCACCTGGTCCGAAGAACCAAGGTAAGCTTTTGCCATACCGTGGCATCCGCCGTCCGTCATGTTGGTCAGTCAACATTTTCTTCAAACGACTTCCTCTTCTAAACCACTGATTGGAATTTGACCAAATTTAAATGAAAGCATCCCTTGGTGATGAGGTTTCAAAACTGAACAAATTGAGGGGCTGATTTGGCCATATCAATTTGAGAGGCTTCTACTCTTGAACGAGGAAAAGAATATCAACCATATTTGGAACTAATAGAAGGATATCAACCTTATTTGGTTGGAAGCATTCTCGGGTAGTAATGATTCAATAATGTACAAATGGAGGGGCTGACCCCCCAGGGATCTGAGGGGCGGGGCCAAGAAAGGGTAAATAAGCCATATTGCTTAAGTTCTTTCTTCTCTGGGAATAACAGATGAATATTGATGATATTTGGTTTGGTTTGGAGCATTCTCATCTGGTAAGGATTTAGAAATATACAAATGGAGGGGATGACACCTGGGAGGACTGAGGGACAGAGATAAAAAGAGTAATTTGGCCATATTACTTTACCTGCTATTTCTTCTCTGCAACAAAGTGAAGGACATCAGCCATTTTTGGTGTGGCTGAGGATTCAAAATTGTAGCAGTTGAAGGGCTGACTTCTGGGTTGGAGGGATGGGGCCAAAAAGAATTTTGAACTTGGACATTATTGAGACACCCCTCCCTCCCATATCAGAATTGACTATGGCTTTTGGCCCCACCCCTAGGGACTCACTTCCTGAGCCATTTTGTACGAATTAATTTAGTCGGACCTAAGTCGAAATCTGTACAGATTTTTAGGTCACCTGAGCTTTAGCTCAAGTGACCTATTGCTATCTGTCTTTGTCCGTCGTCGTGCGTCATGCGTCGTCCAACATCCATTAATATTTTACATTTTCAACTTTAGCTGAAATACTGTCATAAGGATTTCATTGATACTTCATTGGAATGTTACTGACAACTCACTGACCAAGTGTTGTTATTTTTCGGGTCGAACATTAATCCAATATGGCCGCCAAGGCCGTCATTTTGAAAAACTATTTCAAACTTAAAGTCAAGTCCTACTGGGCCAATTTAACTGAAACTTGGTAGATCGGGTCGATCAAAAATCCAATATGAGCGTCATGGCTGCCATTTTGGAAAAAAAACAAAAAAAATTAAGATCAAGTTCTAATAGGCCTATTTAACTGAAACTCGGTCTAGGAATGATCAACTCATTGTCCTGACAAACTAAACTTAACTTAACGTTATACATAACTATTTTATAATAAATTATTTGGGTAATAATATATATATATCCACAAAAAGACTTAAATTTCAAAATGAATGATAGACTTCCAGTTCTTGATAGCAATCTTTATAGAGCTGTCAGTAACTAATCCCCTTTTGAAACCTCAGTGACCCTGGGTGCAGGATCTGGCTCATACAACAGTGAGCAGCTTTAACATACTGCCTCTGAGTGATACTATAATTTCTCAATTGTGTTGCATACACATGTAGTATCCCAGGACCTTTATGATTGGTGTCTGAAGTTAACAATTACATCTACATTTCTCTGTTTGATTTCAATAATGAAAAATGTCAAAAATTAGTTACATGTATTATGCTTAAACTAACGATGCTTTGAACCAGGCCACTACCCAGTTATACTTGCACTCTATGTATGTAAATTACAACATATTCTAGCTATACTTCTATACTTATTTTAGCTGATTTGTTTACAATACAGCTATACATAATAAGCAGTAAATTGTTTTACTTGTTTCACAAACAAATATACTAGAACCAAACTGTTGATTTTTCAAACAACTATACCTGACCTAATAATCTCTAGTACTGCTGTAAATGAAATGTTTTAGACATATGTACATATGCATATGCACATGTACCCATGTGTGTAAATAAAAAGCATCTGTATCGTGTAGACACTTTGTTGTGAATGTGTATAGGAAGTGAAAGCATTAGCTCCCCAGATCACTGGCCACACACAGATAAGACGTCCAGCACTTGGATATCTCCGTAACCAACACAAATACTGTAATATATTGTAAACGTGCCAAGTGGGACAGTTACTCTTTGTGGTTTAAGCATTGTTGAACCAACTGAATCCTTTCTTAAATCAGATAGGGGAATTGTGTGGAAGACCCTAGCAGCAGGGAACAGACACATACCTGTTCGCTTCATGAATTCGTCTTTAGAACCCCAAACCCTATATGCTGGAACAACAGTAAAGTGTAGCAAAGTTACGAACGTCTCCACAATTAGTGACACTGAGTCACTACCTTCAGGAGATGGTTTGTGCAATGCATCTGCTACATTTGAGTGTGTTATGGAGACCATGCTTGCCCGGCTTCACTGGGAAACATGTCTGATCTACGTATATATATAGCTAGACAATATAATAGTCATGGAAAAGGCGTTTGAGGAAATGGTTGTCAATCTCTCACATTGAGTCTTTGACAAACTACTTTGCGCAGGGCTAAAGTTAAAAGCCAAGAAATGCTGCTTATTTGCAAAGCAGGTGGAGTTTCTGGGACATATCATCTCTGAAGATGGTTGTGCCATGGACCCCAAGAAAATACAAGCGGTGAAGGATTGGGCAGTGCCGAGGAATGCAACCGACGTAGTCATTTCTTGGTATCGGTGGGTACTATCGCAGGTTCATAGAGTCATTTGCAGCCATAGCAAAGCCCCTTCACCGACTGACAGAAAGAGGCAGGACCTTTGTATGGAGCAAAGAATGTCAGGATACTTTTGAATATCTAAAAGACAGAATGGTCAACGAGCCATTCATTTAAGACACTGATGCCAGCAATCTCGCAATTGGCACTGTTCTGTCTCAAAAGCAAGGTGGTATAGAAAAGCCTGTTGGTTCGCCAGTAGGACACTGACCAAGGGAGAAAAATCGTACTGTGTAACTAGAAAGGAGTTACTGGCCTTTGTCTACTTCACCAAATATTTCCGGAACTACTTGTGCGGGAAAAGGTTTCTCTTGAGGACTGACCATAACTCTCTTAGATGGCTGACAACTATGAAAGAACCAGAAGGACAATTGGCACGATGGTTAGAAGTACTCTCCACATATGAGATGGAAGTACAGCATAGGCCGGGGCGATTTTATTGTAATGCTGATGCTTTAAGTAGGCTCCCTTGTAAACATGGAAGCTGTCAAGGTAACCAAGCCTTTGTACACAAGATACATGGTGCTGAGCCAACTGAGGATAGCAAACCTTCACTGTCACTCGCTGAGCTACAACAGCAAGATCGAGACTTGTCAGATGTCCTTTACTTTAGAGAGAGCAACCATCTCGTGCACGTATAGGTTCTTGTAGTGCATTTGCAAAGGCACTCTTTGGTCAGTGGAATACCCTTGTGGTAAAGGGTGATGTCCTGTACAGAAAATGGACTGACCGTAGCACAAATGAGGCTCAAATGCAAGCCATAAATACCATTGGTTAGGCAGACGTTAGTTAGAAGGTTCCCTGTACAGAAGTTTGCATGTTTTCAGTTCTTAGGGGTTTTATCCCATCATCTGTATATATTGCACTAGTCTAGCCTTTGTTCAATGTTGATATCTTTGTTAATACAGAGACCTACTCACGTTAAGGTACGAATAGTGGGTTGCACGTTACATTATTATACTGGATGTATCACACTAAATGAACATAAAAAACAGTATTAGTTTGTTCATAATAACCTGTAGAAGTGCTATTAAAGTGTACTGGTATTTTCTCCTCTGCTTACAACCATAATTTTGTCAGAAATTCACATTCTTCATAATATGTCACACAATGCAACCACTCAGGGCTAGGGAATTGACCTCTATATCTCACAACTTCCTGTGCATCAGTGTGAATTTAAACTGACCAATCACAGACCAGGATTCTTGACTGGCCACAGTAACTATGTTTATATTCTTGATCCTTATCCTTCAACAGTCTGGAAAGCTGTATAGACATGCTACAATCTATTGATAATGCTTCACGTCACAGCTTTAAAAACTAGTGAAAATAATAAGCATTTTCTTCTTTTCATTATATGTTGTATAGAAGTTCAGTGTGTTAAGCAAAATAAAAGTAATTTATCCTTGATATTTTGCAACATTGTTATAAAAACATTTGTATTTACAATCTTTTTAGCTCACCTGCCCGAAGGGCAAGTGAGCTTATGTTATGGTGCGGCATCCCTCGTCCGTCCGTCCGTCGTCCGTCTGTCCGGCGTCAACTTTTTGCTTTAAACAACTTCTTCTCAATACCCAAAAGGCCTAGGAAGATGATATTTGGCCAGTAGCATGCTGGGATCAAGGGCTGCCAAGTTTGTTCAAATGAATGACCTTGAGCCACTTTCAAGGTCACTGGGGTCAGATGTCTTAAAATCTTCAAACAACTTCTTCTCAATAACCAAAAGGCCCAGGGTACTGATATTAGGCCTGTAGCATGCTGGGATGAAGGGCTACAAAGTTTGTTCAAATGAATGACCTTGACCCACTTTCAAGGTCACTAGTGTCAGATGTCTTTAAAATCTTCAAAAAAATATTTCTCAATAACAAAAATGCCCAGGGAACTGATATTGGGCCTGTAGCATGCTGGGATGAAAGGCTACCAAGTTTGTTCAAATGAATGACCTTGACCAACTTTCAAGGTCATTGGGG